TCTTTCTTTCTTTCTTTCTTTCTTTCTTTCTTTCTTTCTTTCTTTCTCTCTCTCTCTCTCTCTCTTTCTCTCTCTCTTTCTTTCTTTCTTTCTTTCTTTCTCTCTTTCTTTCTTTCTCTCTTTCTTTCTCTCTTTCTTTCTTTCTTTCTTTCTTTCTTTCTCTCTCTCTTTCTCTCTTTCTCTCTTTCTCTCTTTCTCTCTTTCTTTCTTTCTCTCTTTCTCTCTTTCTCTCTTTCTCTCTTTCTTTCTTTCTCTCTTTCTCTCTTTCTTTCTTTCTTTCTTTCTTTCTTTCTCTCTCTCTCTCTCTTTCTTTCCTTTCTTTCTTTCTTTCTTTCTTTCTTTCTTTCTTTCTTTCTCTCTCTCTCTCTCTCTCTCTTTCTTTCCTTTCTTTCTTTCTTTCTTTCTTTCTTTCTTTCTTTCTTTCTTTCTTTCTCTCTCTCTTTCTTTCTTTCTTTCTTTCTTTCTTTCTTTCTTTCTTTCTTTCTTTCTTTCTTTCTTTCTTTCTTTCTTTCTTTCTTTCTTCATTTATATTTTTGAGCTAGAGCCTTACTTTGTAGCCCTGGCTAGCCTGGAACTTGCAGTGTAGACCAGGCTGGCCTTGAACTTAGAGCTCTTCTGTCATTGCCCCATCGCCACTCAGTGTTGGGTTTAAAGGCCTGTGCCACAGCCAAGCAAGTCAATGCTTTAGCAGGAGGATTTAGAGTTCCAGGCAAAGCAGGACTTATACAGTGAACGTCTGTCTCAAGGAATCCAGAAAATAAAAATAAACAAAAGGTACATTTTTATTTCAACATAGATGTAGCCATTGTCCTTTTTTTGTTGTCATAAGTTTTAGTTTTGACGGGGGGCAATTTGAAAAATAATTTATTCCATTTTTCTTATTGCTTCCAAAATCATTACAGAAGTGCATTAATAATTGTTTTCCAAAACTGAATGTCAAATTTAAATTGTCCAAATTTAAATTATTCAAAGTTGATATATCTGTTTAAATGTGCAACATAGTTTCTATATAAAAAAAAAATCCTTGCTTAAAAAAATAACCTCATGAAACAACTGTTAAAGATTTAATAGCTCTATGCCACCAGGGTTGAAATTGTCTTTCTCGACTGACTAGTTCTTCAGGAAATGTTTTATGTTCTAGTACAGGGTGAACGTCTGTTTGATAAGATAAACCTTTGTTTACTTTACACACCAAACACAACTAATGGATTCCACTTTAGAAAAAAGTGGTCCATGCATCCTCCAGATCTCTGCTTTGTAGAATCCTGTAGCATGTGATACTGTCTCTATATAGCTACATCTGTTTTGTGATGGTTTTGGAGAAGAGCTGATATTTGAAAACTAACTGAGGCACTTGAGCCAGAAGGCTGAAGACAACTGTAAAGGGTCAGTTAAGGAATTGCTGGCTCCTAAGAAGGAAAGGTGTTGCCCTTAGCACGTTAGGGTCCATATGACAATGGTAAAGGGAGTGCACCCTAATCTCAGAAATACGAGAGTGGCAGTCAAGTAGTGGGGTTGTGACTGTGAAACCAACAGGGGTTCTCTGCTAAACTGCCAGTGCAGCTGTCAGAAACGTCAGCTTTGGGTATTCCTTATAAATCATTATCCAGAAAACCAGAAAAGCAGTGTGGGAATGAACAGCCTTAAATTTTGTGTTAAACATAAGAAAGACAGCTTTATTTGACCTTTTAATTTTTCATCTTTCGCCATTTTTCATGAGAACAAGTATATACCAAGTATTGGAATAAGTTTCTGAAAGACTTCACTTACGATATCAAGAAGCACATGAAAATGGAGGAGTTGTTTTCTGAACACTGGTCTGGAGGAAAGGATGCTTTACTTTAGATTCATATGACATTTGAACATAAAACACAGTAGGGGCCTCAGCACCAATAAGCCTCTGAAATGGTAATGCATCATCTGCTTTGTTGATGTGCTACTCCCTTTCTGAGTGCCAGGCCCGATTGCTGTGAATAACGAATGCATGGATATTCCTGTCATACAGTTCCCAGTAAACCCCAGCTAATGAGGGCAGACAGACTGATTTTTTGATGAAAAGCAGATTTGAGATGATTTTCTGCTAATTATTTTAATTAATTTAGTAATTCTAAAACTTACCCCTCCTCTGGTAAATATGTTGACTTTTTTTGTAAGAATGAAATACACCCAAATTTGAATAGCAGAGCCAAGAGTCTATCTAGATTGTGGGATGTAGAGGTAGCTACTTCCTATCCTGTGTTCCTAATGATACTAATGATGTTAAATACTTCTGTGAGAGACTACACATCTATTCTGTGTGCTGGGAATATTTGATAATTCGGAAAAGTGATAACTTATATTAGATACAAGACATATAATAGATTGTTTTAAAATATTTACATTCAAAATAAAAAGGAAGAGACCCATATCTCATTCTACATATGATGTAGATCCTAGATGGCTAAAATGTAAAGCAGTTGTTTGTAGAAGAAAAATTCTAAAAGTGCCACTCTTCTTTTGTGTGCAATTGTGAGTAGTACATGAAGCCCTGAGTCCCTAAAATAACAAGTTTGCTTATGTAAAGAACTTTATCATGGTAACATATTCTATACAAACTTAGAACCCTGGTAGATGGTTTTCAATTACTAGACTCATATTCTGAAAATAAAAAGTGGATGCCACCTGGTAAAAGGAGTGTGAAGGTGTGGAGAAAGAGCATTCACACAAGGGGACAGGTTTACCTGTGATGATCCTCAGGAGGATCCGTGCTAAACCTCTGCCTGGTACGCTTCTTCCAAATCATATTTTTCAAATAAATACAGGGTTTGTAAGAATAGTTTGTAGGCAACCCATTGTCTCTTTTCGTGCCAGAACTCTGGAATAGATGAGCAAGTTGCACTACTAATTCAAGCATGGTTTGGCTGAAGAACATTGAGTAATATACACAGTAGTAACTAAGGTCTATTGGGCATTTCTTATTCGGTCACCCACAAGAGTCCTGTACTAGAATCTGATATTTCCCCCATGAAATAGGTGAGAGAAGCAGAGAGGGTGATAATTGTGAACTTTGCCAAAGTTTAAGCTAATTGTAAACCAGTACCTGAGTGCAGCCTTCAAGAATGCCAGTCCCCCATTGCCTGTCAGCAGTAGTTATGCTCACAGGGAGGATGGAGTGAACTTTAAACACTGAAATAAAGATACAAAGACAGTGGAGAAAAACAAGTGAAAATACTACTTAATAATGATTCTGTTTATATTGTAAGAGATTTACTTCATGTGCGAGTATATAAAGATACTTGCATGAATATTATGCAAATACACAAAAATGGTGCATAAATATCTAAGTGATCCCAGACATATGCCCTGGGGAAGTAAATGGACACAGGAACAAGCAAATACTTTCATAATATTCTCTGTCCATAAGCAGGATATATGTGTGCAACATGAATCTTTTATGTATGGATTGTTCTTAAGACCTCTGTACTTTAAAAATATTGAGAGGGCTATGGGTGTTGTTCTGTGATACAATACTTTCATAGTGTGTGTAAAGTCCTGAGTTTGATCACCAGTATCATAAGAAAGAAAACAAAATTGTTGATAAGAGACTCTAAGGGAAACGTACACTTATTAACAGCAGTCTGTAAAAAAGCTGTGTTGCCCTAAGTGTGTAAGTGCTAAACTGTGTATGTTGTGAGGACATAGGTGCATTCATACAGGTCTGTAGAATTTTAAACTTTCAAGTAATTGCAGAAAAATTTTAATATGTGGCTATCAGGACAGGTTCTTTGATACACAGGATGCTAGTATTGAAAACTAGATTGGAACATAGGTTTTTATGGCTCTCTGATTTAGTATTGCATTTTGGATCTTACAAAACATCTCTGCACAGTAATCTGAATTATGAGGCTTTTTGGTCTTCTGTATGAGGACCAGTAGATGCCTGTTAATATTTTGCTTCTAAAGGGTCCTGGGAATCCAGATCCATGGCTGTCACACTTGGTACTGCCAGTATACAGCAGCTTCTACCAAGTGTGATTGGGAAATGTGAGTTGTTTGCTTCTTTTGCAGTTGTTCTGTTTGTAGCTAGAATGAAATATTATATCTAAAATTCTCTTATATTTGGCCTAGTCTACAAGTGTAACTCAGTAGGACATGAGATACGGGATTTGCAAGAAATGTGATAAAAAAGATATATGAAATTAAAATATGCAGGAAGAACACGCTTTGTGAAGAATTTTGTGTATACGGCTTTAAAATAACAAATAAGTATATCTTATTTTCAACTAAATAGTAATTTAGTAAGAAGTGGCTTATAAATAAATTGAAATAGCTCTACATCTCAATTTTGACGGGTGGCTTTGTCTGTCCATCATCAGAATGTGGCTGACAGTCCTGACCTAGTACTTGGCCTGCACTTGTCCCTGGAAGAGCTGTACACGCAGAACCTCCTGCAAAGACAGCATGCTGGCTCTCCTTCCTCAGGCATGGGCAGGGCAGCTACCCCTGACTTTGCCGTCAGCGACTACACATCTGCAAATGCTGCTGAACAAAACTATGAATGTGCGAACGCAGTAGCGTGGACTCACTCACAGTTACCAAATGGCCTGCGCACCACAGAGCTTGCTCCTGCGCTGCCTGCTGTAGCTCAAAAGGTACCATCCTGCAGCTAGCATCTGGGGTTGTGACTACTTGGACGATAGGGATGGAAGAGAGAAGCATACCCTGAGTCTCTAGTTTGGCATGCGGGCTGGTCTGGCTATGCGGTGACCTATGAACCTGATCGATTGTAGGTTCTTGCTAAAGCACAGTTCGTGAGGGAACATGTGTAATGTTGAAATGAGCACTCCAAAGTCTAATTTTCTTCCCATGTGACTTTGTCTTTTCTTTCTTTTGGGGTTCCGAGTATTTAACTGAACAGAGTTCTCTGGCGTCTAATGCTGAGTCTGGGACCCTGCAGAGTATGTCCCAGGAAGGTTTTGAGAGGACAGTTACTATCGCAAAAGGCAGCTCCAGTCTAGGTAAGTTCACTTTTCATACAATGCTGCTCCTCCGGCTGTGAGAGAACAGTGGGTTTCAACATCATTTTTATCTGCAGATAACAGATGCTAGAAATGTTCTTCTTTTTTATTTTTCTGAAATGGGAACAGGTTTGTTAATTTCATACGCTTACATCCCTCATTCTCTTAATTCCAAGTATTCAAAAATCTCATTTACATTCAAGTAAAAGTTATATGAATTGTGTGTGTTTGGAAAGTAGCAAATCAAAAAGGAATTCTTAGAAAATGAGAAGTCGGCAATTGGGATTCTAAGTTCTTTGAGAAAATAAATTATTACTGTCTTTGAATATTGCTACTTGTGTGAGAGTCAGATTGTATTTAATCTCTTTCATTCACTCAGAAAGACTAACAACTGCCAGGTGTGCCACTGCCAAAATACAAATACAGGTTATTCATAGCCTACATCAGTCCCTGGAAGAAATCTGCCCAGGAAGCCCCCGCAGAGAGTCCTCTGCCACTCACAATAGGCTTCAGCAGGTTCATAATCACAAAACACTTACTGAGTTGCCGAAGCCATAGTGGCAGCAGGTAGAGCTGCTGGGACAGAGCACCTGTTCCCGCACTGAGAGAGGCAGGCTCTCTGCTGCTCAGGACTGATGGAGAATGAGCCATCAGAGTCACAGAATGCCCAGATGTAGCCCGGGTGTTAGCTCACATCAAAGACTGTCTTCTTACCGTGACCAGCCAGCAAGCTCTCTTCAGTATCCTGTGCCTGGGCCTGGTTTCCTCTTGAACCTGAGATTCAGAAGAGAGTCCTAGAACCCCAGAAGTTCCTAGATTTTGTTCCATTTGGTGATGGCCAGACACCTACCAGTACCAGGCAGAGGGAGAATTGTAGGATACCATGTGCATCATTGTAGCTGCATACAGTTGCGTATTAAAAAAGAAAAAAATTGCATGAGTCACATTTCCATTTATCTTATTCATAAGATACCTGTACATTAAGTAGGATATATAAACATGTATCAAACATGCACACTATGTAAATATAATCAATGTATATATTAACTATTCATATTACATATTCAATAAAACATGTTTGATAAGTTCACTTATCTAAAGCAGGTTTTATAGACTTCTATGCAGCTCCAGTGCTGCCTACTGGAGTTCCTGGAGCCATCATTCTGTGCTCACGCTGTAGGTGTTAAACAGGGCTGTCAGTAAGTTCAGTGCCTCATGTTTTGGGATGTGGCAAATGTAAGACTGTCTGTCCACGCAGCAGCTTCGGATGCTGCTGTGCAGTGTGTGACAGTGGAATGTAGCATGTAGAGGCCTTTTATTGTGAAACAACTCACTTTAGAAGAACCTCATTTACAAAACTGTGGCAGTCCATCTACTCCATCACCAAACAGTTGCTATTCTTGTGTCTGGGGCTCACTGTACAGAGATACTACAGCGTAGCTTCTTCTGTCCACACTCAGAGAGGGACCTTCAGTGTTCTGTGTGTGAGTAGCAGAGCAGATGTAATGCTTCAGTGCTTTTAGAATGCCATGTGATGAGTGACCTCCTCTTTTAGGCTTATGTTTTTGCTCTATCTGTAAGTCTGGGGGGGAGGTTATACAGCACTTAACCATTTGAAACTGCTTCACATAGCAGAACATCTTTAAATCTCATACTTCAGAAGTTTCCTTTTTTTTTTAGACTAAATACTATTCCATTGTAGGTAAACATTCCATTTTCTCTATCTATCTGCTGATGGTCATTTGAACTTATTTCATGGTATCTTTTAAATTTTTATTTAAAAATGTTATAAGTTATTTAAGATCCTGTTTTAAAAAAACAGTGTCTTAAAAGTATCCTTTATCATATCTGGAAATTCATGTAAATTCCAGTAGATGTTAGAAATCCTAGCATATGATCTTATAGCTTGTGCCACAGTGTCAGAGTGTAAGAGCCTTTCAGTTGTACTGGTATTTATTTATTTAATTATTATTTTTGCTTCATTTTCACTGTCAGAGTTAGGCTACATACCCATGATATTTTTATAAGCTTAGGCCCTGGTTGTTTGATACCTTGAAAGTCAGCAAGGTTCTCTTATGGGTATATCTAGCCTGAGGTCTGTGAACCACATTTGGCTCTGTGCAACTGGCAACAGTTGTGATTACAGCCCAATGTGAAATTGTAAAGTTACCTCAACATTGTGAGGTATTCCACTGTGACTTTTTAACTTGAAGGTTTAGTTCTTGAGTGTGAATGTTATAGATGATGTTATGTCCCAATTTCAGTATTTGAGCATATCTCCTAAACTTTTCAGAGTTAAAATTGCAAAGATTGTGATGTTGGGAATATTTTCTTAATATTTCATGTGACAGGAGATGTTCCATATTCAGGTTTCTACAGTGCTAGCATGGAAAGAAACCCTGAAAAAGGCCCATTTTAAAAATCGATGTTAACATAAATGTTAAAATAATTCAGTATGTATAGCTAAGATTTAATGTGGGAAGATATTTCCATAATAAGCTAAAGTACCAAGTGTGATGAGTAGTATTGTAGGAAATCTGACAGAGAGAATTTGTTCTCATTGGTGTGCAGTTATCATTTGTTCAGCTCCTAGTCTGCCCGCAGCCTGTCTGAGGGTTGCAGCCTTTCTTCTCCGGATAGGTTACCTCTTTTTCTAGTGACGACGGAAGCAAATCATTAATAAATGAAGGTTTCTGTAACAGTTCTCACCACTAGTTTGCTTTGATTTTACGAAATATTTTTGGTGTTGCAGTTTTTGATACTGCTGTTTGGGGATAGGGTCTCGGACTGCCCCCAAATTCATGATTGGAATTACAGGCATGTGCCACTAGGCCCAGTGGGTTGTTCTTAATTCTTTCAGACTTAGACATTAAAATTTATACACGTGTGTGTGTGTGTGTGTGTGTGTGTGTGTGTGTGTGTGTTTGTGTGTGTATTCCGATCTTGATTTTTGGTAGATCTGAAGTTGATTGGCTAACTATGTTGTATTTGGCCTTGAAGTAAAGAAGTAAACATTTTAGAGGACTGAAAGGCAAAGGAGGATGTTATATTCCCTTTATTGACAAGGTATGGAAACACAGACAGACTCAGATGCCTCGTAGTTCTCAGATGTTAAGGTGTGAGGTCAGCATTCAGGTCTACCTGTTTCTGGCTATTACAGTCTCAGCTTCCAGAATAGCAACATTATGACTGCTACAATAAAAATGTGCTAAAGAAAGATTTGGGCATGTTTTAGAAAGCAATATGCTTTGGTTTAGATAAAGATAAAATATAACTGTATCTTATGTGGAGTTGTTTGGAGACAGGATATTACTCTGTAATTCTGAGTGTCCTGGAACTGCCCAGACTGGTCTCAAATCTACAACCACCTTCCTTTTTTGGTCTTTCATGTGCTGAGACAACTGACATAACTCACCACTCCTAGCTTTGTCTGTTTTTCTATCTTTCTGTCATTTTTTTCTTTTTTTATTACTTTTGTAATTAAAGAGATATTTATTTCTTATTACAGTTTTCCATACATGTACACAATGAAAAAGGATCCTGTCTGTTTCTCATTTCCTCCCTTACGTGCCCTTCACCATGTCTCCTTTTCAATGCATGTTGCTGTTGCTGCCACCACCTTCTCCTCTTCCTTCCTCACTGAGTCCAGTTAGTGCTCCCAATATGTGCATGTGTGGGGCCAGTCACTAAAACATAGGAGACCCACCAGTGGGAACACCATCAAAGAAGAATTGATTGTCCTTTCCCCAGCAGCTGGCAGTTGCCAGCATCTCCTCATTAGGAGGGTAAGGAGAGAGACTGCCATCTCTCCCAGAATTTTGGCTGGCTAGCTGGATTTGTGAAGGTAACCACAACTGCTGTGCGTTCATGAGTGCAGTCGCCATGCCATGTCCATAAGACAGAATTTCATAGCACTCCTCCATAGCTTTAACCTCTTACATTCTTTCTTCCTCCTCTTCTGCCAAGTTTCCTGAGTCTTGATGGGGATAGGGAGTAACAAAGATGCTAAGCAGTAAGTCTCTTTCTCAGCATTTAACCAGTTAAACATATATGAATTAACTACTGCCCCCCTGCAAAAAGGAGCTTCTCTGACAAAGATTGATAGCAGCCCAGGTCTATGAGAATAAATGTAAATATTTAGAAGGCAACTTAAAGTCATGACCCTTGGGGAAAATAACAATAAAGGTTCTCTCTAGAACCCATGACCCCCTCAGCTGTGAGCTTCTGGCCAGGTTTACAGTGCCAGGCATGAAATCCCACCCCCTTGTGCCTGGGGAGCAGCCTACAAATCTAATCAGAAAATCATGCCACTACTGTACCAATGGCCCATATTGCTTGGCATGTTAGTGTTGTAGTGCAAAGGGCCTGCTGCTAGCGTATGAAAGCTTGCCAGCAGAGAGGTCCTACTCTCATATTGATTGCTGCAAATGTGTGGCGTCTTCATCAGCAGGGTCTTACTCTGTAGTTACGGAGGGTAACCAAGGGCAATGACAATACCCTGTGTTGTTTGGGAGACCTCTGGCTTTCTGACCAATAACAGGTGTGGAGTTATCTCATTACCTGCACTGTACTTTAATAACTCATATCTTCTTATGCCAGTACTGTCCACTCATGCAGGGCAATTCTTTTAAAACTTTATTTTTAGTTATATTTTGAAATTAGCTTTCTAACTAGTGAGCTTCCATAAGACATGCTCATACCTGCAGTTTGGCTTAATCTACACACTACTGGCTTTGTGGCTTTCGATCTCCCAGAACTTGTTTTATGAAATTTGTTGTATATGTTTGTGTATGTTAAATATGTTTAGAAATGTATGTTGTATGTTTATATATGTTGCATATGTTTAGAAATATGCTATATATGTTTAAAATTGTCTCCTCTTGATGAATGGTTGTTCTGATTAGAAAGTAACCTTCCTTCCTTATCTCTTCTGACTAGTTTTGTTTTGAATTCTGTTTTGTCAGATACTGAAATAGTTATATATGCTTGTTTCTTGGTTATATTTTCTTGGGATAACTTTTACAGTCCTTTTATCCAAAAGTGATATAGTGTTGAGCTGTGTTCTTGAAGGCAGAAGAAAGAAACAAGTTCTTTTTTGTGCTTTTATTGGAGAAATTGAGACTGTTAATATTTAGAGTTAGTATTAAAAGATGTGTCTCGATTCCTGTCTTTTTTGGAGCTTTTTCCTACATCTCTTTTTATTAATATCTATGTATTGTTTATTTCTTCTTGCATCTTTGATACGTTTATTCTTCTCTTGAGATGGAAATTTTCCTTCTTACATCCCCTTTAGAGCTGGGTTACTGTTCATAAATTCCTTTGGCAAAATTTTTTAAAGATTTATTTATTTATTATGTATATAATGTTCTGTCTGAATATACTGCACCCCAGAAGAGGACCCCAGATCTCATTGTAGATAGTTGTGAGCCAGCATGTGGTTGCTGGGAATTGAACTCAGGACCTTTGGAAAAGCAGCCAGTGCTCTTAACCTGTGAGCCACCTCTCCAGCCCCCTTTATCAATTTTTATCATGGAAAGTTTTTATTTCTCTTTCAATTTTAATAGGTAGTTTTCCTGAGTATAATGATCTATGTTGGAAATTGTGATCTCTCCAAGCTTGAAATTCCTATTTCCAGGTCCTTCTGGCTTTAAATGTTTCTATCAGATGATCTGGTGTGATATGCCTGCCTTTGGCTCTTCTCTCTTGCAGTTTTTAATACCCTCTTTTGCAGGTTTTTAGTATTTCAACCATAAAACAGTTGATTTCTCATATCCAGACCTATGGTACTGGAACATAAATATTACTGGGAACATTTTAAAAAATATTTTAAAAATATATGATTTTGTATACATCAAATATACAAATATATGATTTTGTATATTTAGATAGATAAGAAAATACATTTTAATATAAAAATAACCTAATAATGAAGTGTTTACTTTTTTCAAAGTTTCTGTATTAAAAAAAAATCACTGTGTGATTTACACCAGTAATCTCATCATTTAGGTTACAGAGGCAGGAGAATTCCTATAAGTTCATGATTAGCTTGGTCTACATAGCAAGTTCCTGGCTAGTCAAGATTGTAGAGTGAGACCCTGTCTCAAAAAACAAACAAAACAAAACAAAAAACAACATTCCAGAGGCAGAAGCAGCAGGATCTCTAAGTTTGAAGGCAGCTTTGTCTACAGAGTGAGTTCCAGAACAGTCAGGGTTACACAGAGAGTTCCTGTTGAAAACAGCAACTACAGTGGCAAGCACCAGGTGTGGTGGCTCTTGGCTTTAATCTAAGCATGCTAATCCCAGTATTTGGGAGACAATAAGCACTCAGATCTCTCTGAGTTTAAAGCCAGTTTATTTTGCATAGTGACTTGCAGGCCTGCCATAGCCACCTAGTAAAATCTTCACTTGAAATAACCATAACCAAAACCAAAAACACTCAACCAACAAGAAAAGAAAACATAAGGAATAAGAAAAAAACTTGATAGTGTTATATCTCTTCCTGTCATGTGTATTCATGAAATCTTGATGGAGGAGAAAATATTACACTGCTCTCAGAGTTGGTGCAGGTGTGGCTGCCTTCTCTCATGTGCATCAGTAAGTGGCAGAGAGGAGAGAGGGGGTGCTTACGTTCAGTGTTCCTCATAGGAGTATCCGATGAGGGTTCATTCCCTGAAAAAAAAAGCAAGCCTAAAAAAAAAAAAAAAAAAAAAAGCAGCCCAGCATTAGCCAGGCCCAGACACTTGAACCCTTCTGGGTGCAATGATGCACTAGTGAGGCATAGCTCTACTGAGACCACTCCTGAGATGACCCCAGACACTCAGAGACCCTAGGTGCCATTAAGAGGAGCAAGTAAGTGGTAGAGAAATGGAAGAGAAAGAGAAGAATATAGGTACAATGAAGAGAGGCAGAACTAGAAATTTGAGGGTAGTGAGGAAAGGCCTGATGTCAGTAGAAGATGGTGATGCCCCCTGGGACCATGGTGGGGTCCTGACCCATGCTGACACATCTGGGTCTGTGGCCCTGAAGCAGCTGGGGTATGTTACCACCAAAGACCAGGTAGATGTCCCTGGTCTGGTCTGCTGACCAGGGACATGTTGATGTCGAGGGCCATACAGAAGTGGCCCTACCCTTCACCTGGACATCCTGGGAAAGCTGGCCCTGGAGAAATGAGAGGAAGAGACTGACCCCACCCTTAGCCAGCTACAGTACTCAAGAGAGTGGTCCACACGTTGTAGCAATTGTAGGTGAGCTGGCCTGGAGGATATGAGCATGGGAGAGCAAGACTACCACTTGTCTACTGTACCACTGGTGGCACGGACAAGGGAGAGATGCCCTCCTCCCTCCTTGCCTCTCACTACCTGCAGCTGGTGAGAGACCTGGCCCTGGAATCATGAAAGCAGGAGAGCTGCCCCTGGCCCTCACAGACTGCAGTATTCGAGAGACCAGTCCTGGATGTTGTGGTTGAGGTTGAGCTGCCAGCAAGGGCATGAGTATGAGAGAGCTGACCTCATCCATGGGGACATAGGTGAGGTAGAAATGCCCCACCTCACCCCTGGCCACCTACATCGGGCAGGTGAGCTGGCCCTGGGGTCATCAGAGCAGGAAAGCTGGTCCTGCCCCTCACTTGCTGCAGCACTTGGGAGAGCAAGCTCTGCACCTCACTGGGACAGCACAGTAGAACAAGCCTGGATGGAGGGGTTGCAGATGAATCAGCCACAGGAGTATGAGTGCAGGAGAGCTGTCCCTGCTTTTTGTGTGATGGGCAGTGAACAGACGAGGTAGTGATGCCCTCCTCTCTATCCTCATCCCTCACCATCTATGACAGGCAGGAGAACTGGCCCCAAGGTCACGAGAGTTGGAGAATTAGCCCTGTCCCTTATTAGCTGCAACAATTGAGAGAGCAGGCCCTGCACCTCACCTGAACATCAGGATAGAGCTGTCCCTGGTTTCAGGGCTATAAATGTAAGGAGAGACCATGGGCTGACCAGCTCAGATATCTCTCAGGCCCAGATCCCAGGCTTTGATTGACCCACCCCAACATCTACCCCATCAATGAATTGCTAGAGTACACAAAGAGGCTGGTCCAAGAAGTCCAAAACTACAGGATCCATGACACAGGGCAACGCTAGAATATCAGGGGCAGCAACAACCTCCTTGAAGGATTCTTGGAAGCGTTTCTCTCTAGGAGTGTCTCAAAGCAAAGCACTCTCTCTCTCTCTCTTTCTGTCTTTTTCTCTCAGCTCCTATTTATACCTTCTCAGGGTCTGCACCAGGATGTTTTTCAACTGGCAAAATCTAGCAATCTAGAAATAGCAAAGGTGGTAACAAAGACCACCGGCAGCAGCAGGGGCAGCAGCAACCTCCGTGAAGCATTCTTTGAAGAGTTTCTCTCTCAGAGTGTCTGGCAAAAACTATGCCCCCCACATGAGGCAGTTTCCAGCTGACAAAGATTATTCATCTCTCATGGAGTTGTTATCAACAATGGGTAAAGCATTCCCACACCCCACACTTGAGATTACAACAAAAACATATTTACATAAGCTGACCAAAACTTCTACTCCAAAGCCCAGCTATGATGAGATGGGAGACAGAAGTGAACAGGCTCCTGCAGCTTACTAGCCAGCTAGCCTAATCCACCTGGTGACTTTTCAGACCAGTGAGGGACCTTATCTCAGTCAAAATATAGAAGATGCCTGAGAAACATCACCTGAGGTTGTCCTCTGTCCTCCCCACACACTTGCACACACATGTACTCATAGGCACACACACTCCAGTGTTTCTCATGGAACGAAGGAGGATACTGTGACAGATGGCAGTGCCTTTTTATCAAGAAGGGGAAGACTGTAGAAACCGGGAAAGTGAAGAAGTTATACAGTGTTATAATAACTAAGATCACATTTTTGTGTGTGATATGAAATCCAGGGACCATGTAAGGAAGGAATTAGATGCCCAGATTGAGACCTGATAGAGTTTGGAGACAAAAAATGGAATAGATGACATTTCTGTTGATTTGGGTCAATAGACAACATTCAAATACAGGATACAGTCTGGGAGTCAAGATTTTAGCACAGACTGCGGGATGTTAGGAATTCCATTCTCTGTGATTTGTGTCTTGAGCAACGTGTGTAAGAGTTTGCACATAGCAGCCACCTGTATATAGAGATCAAGATGATTAGTAACCTAGACACAGAATGGTAACTGCCGTCTTAGGCTGTTCGTTTAGAACCCTGTTTATTCTGTTACATGTGGAAGATACAAACTGCTATTAAAAAATAGTCTGATGCTCTATGGTATTTTCTCTAAGAGAGCTTTTATCTTGAAAGATGGACCATATCAAATGGTCCAAATTACATTTGCTTCTATAGTGTTAACTGTTTTAATCTCTTATGTATTAAATGTGGAATATTTTATCTTTATTTTGCTAACATCTTAAATCACTTAAAAATTTTTTTATTATGGGCCAGCAAGATGACTCAGCAGGTAAAAATGCCTACCATGCAAGCTGGATGACCTAAGCTTAGTCCCCAGAAAGGATAGTGGGAAAAGAGAAGTGACCAAAAGTTGTCTTCTGTCAGCCACATGTACACCACGGCACATTCACACACACATCCACACACGCCACAAACACAACTATGACTGATCAAATCAACTTCAAACCTTTTTAGGAATTAAAATGTGATTCATATTCTTTTATCTATAAATCTGTAAGAGAATGTTGAATTCGAGTGAGTTTGAAAATCTTGTCTCAGATATGATAAACATAATGAAATCTACACACCTAAAGAAGATAATCAAGTAAGTGGACATGGGTGAAGATGATCAATCCTCATTTAGAAAGACAAATGGGATGTGCATTGAATGTATGACAGGAGTCTACCGCAAAAGGCATCTGAAAGACTCTACCTAGCAGTGTTTCAAAGCAGACACTAAGACTCATAACCAAACCATGGCAGAGTGCAGGGAATCATATGAAAGAAGGGGAGTTAGTATGATATGGAAAGGATAGGAGCTCTACAAGTACCAAATATATCCGGGCACAGGGCCTTTTCTGAGACTGACACTCAACCAAGGACCATCTATGGATATAACATAGAACATCTGCTCGGATGTGGCCCGTGGTAGCTCAGTAACCAAGTAGTTTTCCAAAGCAAGGGGAACAAGGACTATTTCTAACAGGATCTCAAGGGCAGGCTCTTTGACCTCCCCCCCCCCCCAGGGGAGGAGCAGTCCTGCTAGGCCACAGAGGAGGACTTTGCAGCCAGCCTTGAAGATACCTGATAAAACAGGGTCAAATGAAAGGGGAGGAGGTCGTCCCCAATCAGTGGACTTGGAAAGGGGCAGGGAGGAGACCAGGGAGGGAGTTGGGGAGGGGGAGGGAATGAGGGAGCGGGATACAGCTGGGACACAGATTTAACAAATTGTAACTAAAAAGAAAAAAAAAAAATCTTGTCTCTGGTCCTTGTCAGCATATTTTTCTTCCTGTAGGAATGACAGTAAGTGCTAATAAAGATGGCCTGGGAGTGATTGTTCGAAGCATTATTCATGGAGGTGCCATTAGTAGAGATGGCCGGATTGCAGTTGGTGACTGCATTTTATCCATTAATGAAGAATCAACCATCAGTTTAACCAATGCTCAGGCACGGGCCATGCTGAGAAGACATGCTCTAATTGGACCTGACATAAAGTAAGTGTCACCTGGACCCATTTGTTCTGGAGAATTAATGAATTTCATCTTGTTAATAAGTATATATTTCTATTTGATGCACAGAGTTATCATGTTTATTTCATGTAAATTAGTCTATACTTTATTTATGATCACTTTTTGTAATTAATTACACTTTATTCACTTTGTATCCCTATGATCATTCGTGATATTGGATAAAGTCTTGCCAAGGTTGATTTTGCTAACAGTGTGATGTTATATTTGATTTTGCTTCTCTGACGTTTCTCTGAGAAGCCTAGCTGTGAGAGATATCCCATGTTTCAGACATCTTATAATCACACACAGTCTCATGTTGACTTAGTATAAAGAAGCATGTACTGCTGTTGTACCCCCATAAGAATCCTAGAACTGCACCAGTTCTTTAAAGTGCCAGTCATGAAGGGGGCTAAAGAGTACAAGACCTGTCTGAACTACCCTTAGCTTTCCTGAGCTCCCTTGTGCCCATGGAGAGTCACTGATCTGGGTGCTGACTTCTGCTTATAGGTCCTGTTGCTCATTTTGCCAGGAAGTGCTTGAATTTTCCTATAAGTCTATAATGTTCTATACATCATGTGTATATATGTACACACACACACACACACACACACACACACACGCACACAGTTTAGATTTTTTTTCTCGTTAGATGTTCTTTGAGCCAACATAAAATACAGCTCAGGCTTTATTGTCAAACCTCACCAATGTGGCTCTCCCTTCTGACATTTATCATTGATTATTTGTACTTATTGTACAAGGGATCAAGGCATAAATCAGAGCTTGGGAAGACTGCTTACCTTAAATTGGTAGTGTGAGGTTACTTTTGTATATTTTTCAAATGGCATTTGTTGGCAGAATAAGCACTGTTAAAGCATACTGACCATGTGGTTTTTACTCTGCCATATATAAACCGTAAACATGTCCCATTGCCAGGAGCTCCTGCTTTTGACTTAATAGTAAAGTGGATCTTCAAATCATGTGGCCATTTCTTAATTATCTTTTAATGATAAGAGTACAGGGAAACATCATTTTAAAAGTCAGTACTTGTGCTATACAAGTGGAGCGACTTCTCAGTTTGTTTCTTGTTGCCTGTGGCCAGTCTTTATTTTGCCTAAAAGTAAATGATACAGATAACATGGAAATGGTTTGTTGCAGGATGACTGGGCATGGTATGAAATGCAGATAGTCTGGTAACTCAGCGTTCAGCTGTTGTTCAGGGTTACTCCTGTTGGGCACATGAAGCATCAGAAGCCATACTTGGTGCTGGACTTCCCCTTCAACCGCATCCGCAAAGCGTAGATTCTGTATTACTTAATTGGAGAGAGTTTTGAATAGATTTAAAGTCAAAACACTCCTTCTCCATTTCTTAATGATTTGTATTGTGTCTCTTACCAATCTAGCCAGGAACCCCCAATTCCCTGAGACCAGCAACTTTCTTACAACTGAAAGATAACTAGAGGGCTAACTCACTGAGCATGGCTATCACATCTCAGAAGTCAAAGCACACTGTGACATTTATATGTAAAGCAGGGAGAAAAAAATCTGTCCTCTTCTGAAATTAGTCAGTCTTATACTCTCTCTCACATACTCTCTCACACCAGTATTTATCTCACACACATCCTAGTCAGTCTTCCTCACACACACATTAGTCTTTCACTCTCCCCTCTCTTACACACACACATACAATTAGTATTTCTCATACACTAGTCAGTCTTAGATACACACACACACACACACACACACACACACACACACACACCAGTATTTCTTACATACAACACTGGCTAATCTTTCTCACACACACCAGACATGCTAGACAGTCTCTTATATACAGTCTTAACACACAAACACATGTGCACACTCCAACATGCACATAAAAAATACCATTTCTTCTTAAAGGGCCACTACTGCTAACTCAGATGACTGTATGTGGTCTTGCCGAATAAATGGTAGAAATTAAATTCATTCTCCTACAGTCCTTTTTCAGAAACATAACACGTTATGTGAATCACCCTGAGCAGGGCTGTTGAGCAGGGTTCTTTGGGTTTTCTGTGAAGTGCTTTTGGCTCTGTCCCCCTTGGGTCACTTCCATTTCATGAAAAGGGGATTTTTTTAAATTACCCTGAGGTCATTGTGGCCATTTTCCCAAAGGGAAGTCCAGTTATTCTTTTCTTCTGAATGGAACCATATCACCACCTCTGACCAATTCATCTCTGTAGTTACTGCCTGGCTCTAAGCTCTATCTAGTCTTTTCCTATATTGCTTATTAATGGGGAGTGATGGAAACTGTGTAAAAACAAATAAATAAATAGCACTGGCTCAGCTACACAATTGCCTGATCATAGGGAAAGGATTGCTTGTGAGACATTGTGTGTGTTCCTTTTCCTCCCACTGATAGATAACTATGAAGTTTGTGTGCATTTATGCATGCCTAAGTGATGATTTGAGTTTCCAGAGTTCAAGAACAGCCAGTTAAGTTGTGGGCCTCCTTGTTTCCCATGGAAAGCCAGATGTGAAGCCTCACCAGAATGCATTCTGTTTCTTTTCACTCTACCTTGCCAGGAGCTCTTACACATTACTGTAATAATAGCCAGGGTTTTGTGCTTAGCAGCAGCTGCTTATAACATCTGCCAGATAATTACTGAGCTGAATCAGAATTCACCTGCCTTAACCCAACGTGTGGGATGAATTCCTGATCAAGGAATAAAAGATTGATTGCAGTTACATTTTTCCATGCTTGTTAATAATCACCGCTATAGACACCAGGAAAGAGCAGATGCTTTTCTGGGGGAGGTGTAGATGAGCGGGAGGTGGAAAGGGGGGAAATACCCAGGAGCATCCACTTTTAACTACATATGTATGCGTCTCACATTCAGCACAAGACAGTGACATTTGTTAACACCATTGTAAAAAGATGCCGCGGCGTATGCTTCACATTCTAGATTCTCCGCAGCACCTGCTGATGATCGAGCCCCCTTTTATGTGTGAGTATCAGTGACTCAAAAGCTCATTATGGCTGTGTGTTACAACTTGTCTGTGAAAACCATTTCATGCTTTTGTAACATCGCAGTGCAGGAATAGATCCATATTAGATTCAGTGTGTGCAGTTTGGCTTTTTTCTTCATTTATAAGAGAGCATCAATTCCAGCAGAGCTATGCAATTGCTACATTTTCACGTTGCAGTGATGGTGAACTCATTTGAAAATCCTGTTTTCCAGCCACTAAGCTTCCAGGCTCTGTTGTGAGGCTGATCCTGTCTGCATGTGCAGGCGTGGTACCCGGATTTGTAGCTTTTGTCACATGTCAGCATCACTAAAGTGAATTTCCTTTCCTTCACCATATGTGTAACCAGATGTTAGTTTACATAGAAGGTTTTAATGCAGTTCCCAAATAATCTGCTTCCCTGTGTTACAGCAGCTTGTCATTCAGCTTAGCTGTTTTCTGGTTTATATGGAAGTTTTGTGGGCTCTGTGATTGGCTGTGTGCTGGAACTGCTCTGCATGTGCTGTTCCATTGTGGGATACCTCTTCTGGTGGCCCCTGTCAATGTTGGGACAAATGACCATAGAGGTGTCTCAACCGAATAGCAAACAAATATTTATTAAGCCCTCATTTATTACCCTCTGATGGAAGTAAATCAGCAAATACAGGTGACAGCTCTTCAGTCCTACTTGAGGTTTCAAGATGGCTAATAAACAAAATAGGCAGTGCTTGTTACTAGTATTATTGCTTTCATGCCCTACGTTGCCCACATATTTTCTCTTGGTTTTCACCTAAGGGTTTATGTATATGAGTTCTCACAAGTTTAGGTTTTCTAAAATTCTTTCAAAATTATCCTGTTACCATTTAGATGATATACTAATATTTATGTAATATTATTACATAATATATACTACTACACAGTTTTGCCTTGTAAAATTTGAAAAGAAAACAGCAAATCTACTATTCAGCATTTTTGTAACACCCTAAAGGTTTTTATTTTTCTTTGTTTTCAGTAGATGAATAAATTAAGCTGGGCCAGTGAAAAGGCAGTGCTTTAACACTGCTTAAGAGAATTTCCCTAACCAGTGTTTTTTGCTCAAAGTTTGGTTCTTAGGGTAGAAATTTCACTAGGAGATTCCCAGGGGGAGTTGAGTATTCTTTTGGTGGGCTGGCTGTGGTATAGCGAGCTGTGTTGTGAAAAAAATCCTGCCTCACTGTCTATGGTAGTGTTTAACTTATAGCTGCCCCGTAAAAGATGGCACACTTGTGGTTGAGTGTTTGGAGTATCAGCAATGTTGGCTCCCATAAGAGCACCTCAAACCCAGAAGACTGCACTTTGGAGACAAGGGTGAACATCTTTATGTATCATCAGTGGAGCTGAAATATATTGTCCTAACTGCAAAGCAGTGGATCAGAGAATCTATCTTTTTTAAATTTTATTTATTTTTAATAAATTACATTTTATTCACTTTGTATCCCAGTTGTAGCCCCCTCCCTCATCCACTCCCAATCCCACCCTCCCTCCCTCATCTTCTCCCATGCCCCTCTCCCAGTCCACTGATAGAGGAGGTCCTCCTCCCCTTCCCTCTAACCCTAGCCTATCAGGTATCATCAGGTCTGGCTGCATTGTCTTCCTCTGTGGCCTGGCAAGACTGCTCCCCCATCAGGGGTAGGTGATCAAAGAGCCAGCCACTGAGTTCATGTCAGAGACAGTCCCTGTTCCCATTACTAGGGATTCTACTTGGAGGCTGAACTGTCATGGGCTACATCTGTGCAGGGGTTCTAGGTTATCTCCACATGGTCCTCAGTTTGAGTTTCATTCTCAGAAAAGACCCCTGTGCCCAGATTTTTTGGTTGTGTTGCCCTCCTTGTGGAGCTCCTGTCCCCTCCAGTTCTTCCTATATTCCCCTTCTTTCATAAGATTCCCTACACTCTGCCCAAAGTTTGGCTATGTGGCTCAGCATCTGCTTTGATACCTTGTTGGGTAGAGTCTTTCAGAGTCCCTCTGTGGTTGGCTCCTGTCCTCTTTTCTCCCTCTTCCGATGTCTGTCCCATTTGCCTTTCTGAGAGGATTGGAATATCAAATGGCAGAGAAACAATTAAAGAAATGTTCAACATCCTTAGTCATCAGGGAAATGCAAATCAAAACAACCCTGAGATTTCACCTTACAACCATCAGAATGGCTAAGATCAAAAACTCAAGTGACAACACATGCTGGAGAGGATGTGGAAAAAGAGGAACCCTCCTCCATTGCTGGTGGGAATGTGAACTTGTACAACCATTTTGGAACTCAATCTGACGCTTTCTCAGACAATTAGAAATAGTGCTTCCTCAAGATCCAGCTCTACCACTCCTAGGCATATATCCAAAATACGCTCAACTATGCAACAAGGACATTTGCTCAACCACGTTCGTAGCAGCTTTATTTGTAATAGCCAGGATCTGGAAACAACCCATATGTTTCTCAAGTGAGGAATGTATACAGAAATTGTGGTACTTTTATATAATGGAATACTACTTAGCAATTAAAAACAAGGAAATCATGAAATTTACAGGGAAATGGTGGGAACTAGACAAGGTCATCCTGAGTGAGCTATCTCAGAAGCGGAAAGACACACATGGTATATACTCACTTACAAGTAGATATTAGACATATAATATAGGATAAACATACTAAAATCTGTACACCTAAAGAAGCTAAGCAAGAAGGAAGACCCTGGGTAAGATGATCAATCTTCACTCAGAGAACTTATCTTAATGTATATGTTATTGGTTTAAGAATCATTATGATTTCTATATTGAGTGTGTTTTATACATACTCTCTTTCATAATTGCACAAACATGTCTGCCCTACTGACTTCAAGTAAGTATTTCTCTGAGTACTGACTAATTTGAGGATCTTGACCAACCTATTTAACAAATTTTACCAGCGGTGTAACTAGCCTTACAGAATAGTGGCAAATCTGAACTTGGCTGTGTTGATTTCTAAGCTCACGGCTATGTTTTACATCCTAAGAAATGTCTTCTAAATGATGAACACCAGTTACTTGTTCAATTTATGAGTTTACTTTGAAGTGAAATAGTTGGATTTCTTTGAGAAAAAAAAAGTAAAGAAGTTGGTACACATTAATGAATCTTTCTTTCCTTAACCTTAAGTATGATAGCTTCAGGCTTTAGTCTTTTAAGTTTCTAATTTAGTGAATTCTATTTCACTAAATTATTGATTGTGCTAATTAATGAGAACACTTAACCATTTATTATGAGCAACAATAAGTTTCAGATATTTAGTGTTTAATAAAGTACACCTAATTTATCTCTGCTAGGCGATCTAAATATGACAGAAAATATTAACTGGGATATTTATTTACTTACATATTTATTTTGTGGTACTAGTGATGAACCTAGGCCCCAGGCAAGATAAGCAAACATTACGCAATTGAGCTATAACTGTAGTCCCATTCATTCATTTATGCATCCATCTATCCATTCATCATTGTAGTAAATGGATCACACTCAGAGCTTTTAACATGCAAATATTCTGCTCCTGAACTGCCTCCCTAGCTCTCTTATCAAATTTTAGAGTTTCCTAATCTAAAAAAAAAATTACATTAGCTTTCTTGTTTGGAGAAATGAATAATCCTTTTTCTCTCCCTGTATGATTGTTACTACATTACTAGTTTTCTCAGTAGCATTTACAATTTTAATTTCAGTTGTTGTGTTTGCATGTAGAGTATTTTGTCTGTTGAAATTCAAACTGTCTGTTGAATGTGCTCATTCCAAATATCATATGAAGTCTAGACATGATGGGCAATATGACTTTTTTCTGTGTTTAAGAGGCTTCTATAATAGACAAAACTCTGTTCCTTTTGCTTTCATGGATTATGTTTATTTCTAGAATTACTTATGTGCCTGCAAAACATTTGGAAGAGTTCAGAGTAAGCTTTGGTCAACAATCTGAAGGAATAATGGCACTGGACATTTTTTCTTCATATACTGGCAGGTGAGTAGATAAATCTTACTACAATAAATGACACAGAAGATTATAAAAAATTTGTTTCCCTTTGTCTCAGTTTCTCAAGTAGTTACTATTTGGAATTGAAAATTTGGGATATATATGAATTTTCAGATCAATAAGTTAAAATAATCTTTCATTCACCTACCTGCTATAGCACTTTAACATTAAGTTTTTGTAATTCTCCACAGCTAGGAATATTATTTCATTAATTACCTAGACAGCATATTTTTCATGGTTTTATATAATATTTTTACTTTTCCTAGAAATATCAAACAACTCAATCAGAAAGATTTTTTTAACAAATATACTTCTTCTATTTGGAGACTCATAGGCTAAGACTCGAAGTACATAGGGACCGTAGGAAACAGTGCTTAACTTTTAAAGGCTCTTATTATACAGTATGTTGAGAACATTTAAATAATGGAGTTTTCTTCACTTTACAAAAAGACAGAATCGGGGCTTGGTGATAATACTGACTGAGTTCACAGCAGGAGAGAAAGTCAGAATGCTTTCTCTGAAGGTGTGTACTGTTCTCTGTGGGTTGCTGGTTGTAGTTACACTGACAGTTGGATACCAGATTTCTCTGAAGCATGCTGCAGAGCATAGAGCCTCACCAACATTTGGAGGCCTTCTCAGAAAAGTCCTAACTCTACAGAGGGTGTCAGAACGCCCTGGTTCCCAGTGGCCCTGAAGGAATTATGACATAGCACCATTGCTTCCTTTGCAAATTATACAAGGCCACGGTGTGCAGATAGTAGTTGGGAATAGAAAATCATGATCTGTGATTAATAAACAAAAAGAAAAGAAAGATGATTGTAGTTTTTTGGTCCTCATGATATTTGTGGCAGGGTTACCGCACTACGTACACAAGTTGGCCCAAGTGCACGTCAGACGTCTTATCTCAGGCATTGTAGCATGGGTTGTTCGTAATTTCCCAGTGTTTCCTGGAAAAACTGTCTTTCTTCTGTCCAAATGGAGGACCAGTAAATACCTCAGTAAGTTCATGGGATCTAAAACATTCCAAAGTTTTAGAAAGAAAGAGCTGTCTTCATTGCTGTTCTTCACTGTCAGCACAGAGGAAAATGGCCTTGGTTTTTTATTGTAGTGATTAGCTGCTTCATCACAGAGAAAGCATATTTGTTATTAACAATGGGGTGCTTACAAAAAGCAGTTTGCATCTTATGGGGGAGGAATCTGCAGCAGCAAGAGCTTAACTTCCTGGAGTCCCACAGCTAGTTTCAAAGCCAAGCTTAGAATGTAGTAAGTCAGACTTTTAAGATCTTGACCATTTACTCAAAGGAAGATTACACAAGTCCATAGAACAAAGAAACATTATGGCACAGAGAGTAAGTGCTAGGTGTCCGCAGATTCAGTCTTACTGTTTTACACTGTGGCGTTGTCCCAGTAACTCTACTGGCACTTAGATGTGGGTGCAGGTAATGGTTATAGCTATAGAAATGTTTGATTGACAACACTTAAGTCACAGGGAGAAAGCAATTAAATACTTGCTTGGCTACTTGAGTGGAGGAAGAAAAGGCTTGTTCTATTTTGCTCTAGAGTAACTGACATTGGAGCTTCTGAAACCACATGCTAAGCTAGAGAACAAATACAAGACACATTTAGAGACATATGAAGGATTCAACACTCTAAAGTCACTTGAAGAAACTGGGGTCTGTAGATGAAAGGATTAAGACTGTCTTCTAGCTCAGATGTCAGGTATGCAGTACTGCATGGCCAATACTGCTTTTGCATAGCTTGTGTGTAGATATCCTTGCCAAAGACACAGGGCAGAGAAACCTATGGCTGTCAGTAGAGGCTACAGCAGCTGCTCACATTCTCACTCTTTCTTCTAAACCTGCATTTCTCTTCATCTCCTTCCTATCTTCTTGGCTTTTGTTCTCTGGGTAAGGGCTTCATTTGAACTCTTTTTCATTTGGTTCCTTGTTATCACTTTTATAAATCACCTCCTAGAACTGCTGCTGTGTGTTCTGGGCTACTGTCCGGTTTAGACTCTAAAAGCACAGCTTGTCCAAGATCTGTCCTCTTTAGTTTACATAAAGGGGGACTTCAAGTACAAAGCAGCTAGTAGTTCCTGTAGCAGGTAAATTACATTTTAACAATGTTTAATCAATGTTCAGGTCAAAGAAAAGGATCTTCATAGAGAACCTGGACACGGCTTGTGAGCACTGTGAATCATGTTGAAGTGCAGATCCACTGGGTCACCTGACATTCGTCTTAAATGTGAAGATCATATAATCTGAATGAGTTCAGGGTTCCTATCAGTGAAGAATGGCTATAATTTGAATCCATGTTTTCTTTAGCCTTTTTAGCTCTATAAAGTCAACTGATGGTGAATTCTTTCATCAGAGAAATAATTTCTGAATATTTTTCTTTTAGAATACCAGTGTTTGTTGAAATATCCCCATTCCTTGCCTTTATTCTTCCACGTTTTGTCAGCAGATGGACCAGGCAGGACTTTGTGTTCAGCAGCTTCTTGAGACTTTTGTGTACAGCTGTCTCTAGAGTGAGGTTGTTCGGTTAGGTTTTTCTTTCCCCGTGCTGGGAAATGTTAGAAACTTGTAAGTAGGTACAATGAAAATTCAGACAGCTCTGCTTTTTTAGCTTGCCTGTTTAAGACAGTGTTACTCCAAATTCTCACTATATGTTTCCTTAACCAGAGACATGCCAGAACTACCAGAGCGAGAAGAAGGAGAAGGGGAAGAAAGTGAACTGCAGAGTGCAGCCTACAGCAGCTGGAGTCAGCCTCTGCGGTAAGGACTGCTTCAGTGTTCGGCCCGTTCAGTGGGTCTGTATGCTTAGAGAGATAGAGAGGAAGGCTGTATGGTCACACACTGTCCTGTAGATTGCTTCTTCTGACACCAGACACTTTTTTTTAAAAAGCAGTGTTAACTCTTTATTTCTTCATATGTACATTAGAGAAAATAATGTTTATCATACAGGGTTAAAACTAACTTATATGCAAGGATTTGTAGCAGACTAATGACAATTATCTAGAGGAAAGTATGCATAGGTAGTTGGAATAAATAAGTTCTGAACAGTTTTGGGTACAGTGCCAAATGTTTGTTTACATTTTAACATTATGCTTATATACATATTTACATTTAAAATTGTATATATTAGCATATACACACATATATTAACTGTAAGTATGAAAGAGAGACAGAAATGTGAGCAGGAAACTTTGCTCTCACAAGCTGAGTTTGTTCAAAGCCTTACATATGGTTCTTGTGCAGCAAAGAAGAGTGACCTTGCCTATGCCAGGTTATAACACTGTAACATGAGGACATGCTAACATGTTCTCGCTGAGTTAAGTCAGCTTCTGTGTAATGGGGTTCACTGAGGCTTGGGTATGGACCCAGAAACAAAGTTGATAATTTGTATAACCAAGAATTAAGTCTAAGATATAAATTGTGCCTCCGGGTAAGATAAGACTGTCTTTGGTCAGGCAAGATCTAGAGATATGTGAAGCAAAGAACAATGTAGGATATTAAATATCAGTAATCATGGTTTAGCCCCTCAAGCTGTTTGAAAATTAACCATTACCACGGAGCCATGCATTGTGAAGTTGCCTGTTCACAAGTGAGATTTAACCTATAGCAATATTTTTCAAAATGTAGAAAAGACTATTTTATGTCATTTCAGAGAAACCAAACATCTCCCTAACAAGAGTTTTCAGTTTTAATTTCTTCAATAGCCAATTAGCTTGCTGCTTCTCTACAGCATTATCCACATTGAGAATAGGATATATGTGAAAGCTTTTCATTTGTATAATGGGATTAGCTGTGGAATCTTTTAAATTTGGAAGAGGGATCAGTAAGTTCTGCCTCTAAACAGCCCCAACATGGCAGGGGGCAGTCCTCAGTAAGTACCCGGTCCAGGCTGTGTGTTTGTCACAAGTAGCTAAACAAAAGGAAGCAGTCTAGAGAAGAAGATGCACGTATCCCTGGGTCTGGAAAGTTTGTATGCTCTGCTCTTCCAGTCTCGTCTTTACATCAGCCTAAGAATTCCCTCTGTGGTGATGATTTACACAGAGGCTTTCAGTATTAGTGTAGAGAAGCACTAAACCACTCCAAGGACTGTCCATAGGTGATGAAGAAGAAGCAGACCAGCGCAGCCAGAGCTTTCTGGAAACAAGGGCTCACTTCCCAGCACTGGAAACAAAGTCATCAAGGACTTGTGTTGAAATAGAGGACACTTGTTAGCTAAGTGTTAAGGATTGTAAAATGGGACTGATGAATGGGCTCAGCAGTAAAGACTCTCAAGCCAAGTTGACCTGGTTAATCTGAGTTCAATTCTCAGACCTTACAAAAGGAGGAAAGGGAGAATCAACTCCACAAAGTTGTCCTCTGACTTCCACATGCATTCCATGGCATGGGTGCTTCTGCACATACATCGTATATACACAATCATTTTATAAAATTCAGGTTTTGAAACAGGCATAAATAGATTAGATTTTTGTTAGTGATTTCCATGTGTATTATTTCTCTTGCTTGCTTACATTTTTTTTTGTCTTGTGCTTTGGAGATCTGCGTCATACTGCTACTTAAAGATCTGATTCAGGCCATAGGTAATACTTGAGTGGCTAATAGTGCAATTACACCAATTCTGTGCAGCGAATGTGTATATTTTTAATGTATGTGCATGAGATCTTATCTAGGATATGTATGTATATATTCAGAAGTAGAATTACTGGCTTATAGACTTATATGTACTTTAAAATATTATTTGAAGTTACTTTTAATGGTGATCATAGAAGTTTGCACTTCTATTTCAATACATGAATTTTCTCCAAGTGACATGTGTGACCTTTTTAAAGCGTTCTATCAACAGATGGAAAATGACACTGTGTAGATTTGTTGAGGTGGATGCCATTTGCTCAGTTGTCATGTGGATAGAATGATATACTTCCTGCTATTCCTGTGGAGATCACCACCACCACCATGACGACCACCACCACCATCATCATCACCCTCTCATCATCATTATCATAGATTTATTTGTTGCTTACTCTGCCAAAGCATTCATTTTGCAGCTATATATTAAGTAATTAATTCCTCGTAAGACCATTTTATTAGAGACTCTTATTGGTTCCATTTCACAGCTGAGATAAGTGAGACAAAGAGACTAAGTAGGTTGCCTAGTGTCATGTAATTAAATAGCAGAAAAGCAGGGCAGGGACTCTGCTCACGCAACCCAGATGTCTGGTCCCAGAGCCAGCTCATGCTCCACAAAGTGTTCCTTTCCAGATGTCCTTCTTTCCCAGAGATAGCCACCATGTTTGTCTAAGGACCGATCAGCCTAGCTTCTCGCCTCTAATCATTTGGCTGTACTCTGCATTGTTTAAGGATTCACAGACCGTACATCACAACAGGCTGTTTAAACCTCGCAACCTGCTAGAGTGCCCAGTGCTGTTTGTCAAAGTTCCTGAATCCGTAATTCTCCCTTTCATGGTGAATCAAGGTCTAAAGAATCTCTACCTTCTAAGCTTGATAGGAGGACTAAGTTTAAAATAATGCAGCTCCCTGGAAGAATGGGATTGGGACACCTAACCCTTATTATAGTTTGCTACTCATGTCACTCCAGGAATTGTTTCTAACTCACAGTTGGCAGTGAGCAGTCTTGGGGGACATTTCCTATCATTCATTTTTAAATTTTTCTAAGAGCTCAAGGGTCCTATCTGGCTTTTAAAATATATGCATACATTGGCTGCATTTCTTTGTTTTACAGTTTACTGTAAAAACTGCTTTAAGAAATGGCAAAGAGGGACTGAGTACCCTCCTCTTCCCTCTGCATGGGCACAGGCATATACATTTACATATACATATGTGTATACCTCAAACTGACACATGCACATGTGAGCATATACATACAGGCACACACATATACAGTAAATGTAAAAATAGAAAAGGACATTGGTTCTTTGATTTAATAGACTTCCTAGAGGGAAAATATTGAATAATATTTTAGGTTGTTATAGTCACAGAAATTATTGTTCAACCTCTTTCAACTAATTCCTTCCAACTAAACAGATGAGCTTTCTAGGCTTACGTATTTCCAGTTAACACAGCGTCCTCACCAAAGGGGAAACGTTTGTGCCACGCATCTCATCCGTTACGCCCACTGCCCCACAGCGGCCTTTCTTTCTGCCTCTTCTTTCCCTTGACAGCAGTCCCATGTTCCTCTCACTGAAACAACCCAGATGTCAGTGTTGAGGACACACTGGACCATGCCATCTTCTTGTCCTGAGTGTCCACATCATTGTCTTCCAGGAGCTCTGAAATAGATGCAGGACCTTGTCAACACTCCTCACCAAAAGTCACCTTATTCTTGCATCCCTCCCTTTTCACAAGATGGTCCTGTAAATCCATCCTTACCTCTTTTCCCTTTTCTAGTGCTTGGTCGAAACTCAGGTTCTTACACACACATCAGTCACTTCACCAGTTAGATCCTCAGCCTCTGTCCTTAACCCTTTAGCTGTTAGCAGTTATTCTGTGTGAGTTCTGTGCTTATGGCATGGATAAGAAGAGATGATAGATAACGTGATAAGGACTCAAGTTAGTAGCATATGAAATCATCTTACAGAACAGCAAGGAGCACTGTGCTTCCTGGAGTGGAAGGTGCAAAGCAGATAAGGGAATCTCAGAAGGTGCTGGAAGGATCATTTCATGTAGAATATTTTCAACAACTGCCCTTCATGCCCTGACTGTTAATGACCAGGTCTGCTCTGGCAAGAAAGACTCCTACAGAGGCAAGCTTCTGATTAGCGTGTGCAAAAGTGTTCTTTCCCTGGATTTGGCTGCTAAACCTGGGAGCTGCCATCTGTTCAGTGATAGCTGAAACTCCTGATCATTTAATGACTGCATTATTAACACTCCCGCAAAATGGGGCTTCTTACTGGCTTGCACTTTAGCCTACAATGTGAGTCCAATATTAATACCAAGTAAACACATAATTTGGAAAGTATTTCAGTAATCTTTTATGACTAGAGTTCCATGGTAATTACACATATTATTCTTTTGTAAGTGTGCAATTTGGAACCTTGCTATAACTATAGTACCATCATTTATAGAAGACTTTTTGTCATGTAAACCTAAGAATGTGTACACTAAACAATACCTCCCTATTCACTTCCCCGCGGAGCAGACTTCATTCTGTGTCCTGTCTCCAGATACGTCTGCTCTGGACCTCGTGTGAGCGCAGCGGTAGGCATTTGGCCTTTACTTCATTTAGCTGGCCAAGTCACATAGCATAGGGTACTCAGAGCTGGTGTGCGTTGTAACATGTTTCAGCAGTTTCTTCCTTTGTAAGACAATAAAATTCCAATAAGCTATGTATCATTTCGCTTATTTTTAAATGTAAAAATTATCTATTATGGTGCAGTGGTGTGTATGTGCATGCGTGTGGGTGCATGTGAAGGTATGAGAACATACCTTCATATGTATGAAGAACATAGGTATGAGAACATACAGTAGGTTTATCTCCTACCTTATTTGAGGCAAGGTCACTGCAGTTTCTTCTGCTCAGTGCATACCAGGTTAGCTGCCCATGAGCTTCTGAGCAGCCCTCCTATCTGTGCCTCTCATCTCTGTACAGGAGTGCTGGGGTTACAGGTGTAAGCCAACACATTGTGCTTTTGTAGGCTCCAGGGATCAAACTTGGGTAATCAGAATTACACAGATAGCACTTTGTGCACCAAGCCCTCTTGCCAGCCCCTTTTCAGTCATTTCTAAGAGACATAAAGTTTACATCTGCTTCTTACCTGCTCTGGATAATGCTATTCTGATGCAAGCGTTCAAAATATCTCTTCACAACTCTGATTTGTATCTTTTGGTTTTGTTTCCATATGGTAGTTGTATTTTTAATGCTCTGTTGTGGCTGTAACCTATCACATTCCCACGAGCGATGCAGAGTTCCAGTTTCTCTCTTTTCTCATAGACACTAATAATTTTCTGGTTTCGTTAATAATTGTCATCCTAATAGGTGTGAGGTAATGTACTGTTAGATACTGATTGTGTCTCTACACATGTTAATCATTGTTTTATGTGTTTATAAAACATTTATAAACCAGTAGCTAAATGTCTATTTGAACCCTTGGTTAAATTTCAATCTGTATGTTTGGGGATTTTGTAAATGCATTTTCATACATTCTAGATATTAATTCTTTATTGGATGTGTGACTTCCAAATCTCATTTTCCTTCTGTGGGTGAGCCTTTTTCCTCTCATTTTAAAGAAGTCCAATTTGCCTATGTCCTTTATGTCTGTACTGGCTATCTTTCTGTCACCTTGACACAAGATAGAGTCAGAGAGATTCATTTGAAAAAAAATACCTGTATAAGATCCAGCTATGAGGCATTTACTTAATTAGTGATCACTGGGTTTGGGTAGTTCATGTTGGGAGGTGATATCCCTACACTGGTGGTCTTGGGTTCTGTAAGAAAGCAGGCTGAGCAAGCCATGAAGAACAAGCCAGTAAAAAGCACCTCAGTGGCCTCTTCATCAGCTCCTGCCTCCAGGTCTCTGTCCTGTTTGAGTTCCTGTCCTGACCTCCTTCAGTGATGATGAACAGCAATGTGGAAGTATAAGCTGAAATAAACCTTTTTTTCCCTCAAGTTGCTTTTGGTCGTGGTGTTTCATTGCAGCAAAAGAAACCCTAAGTAAGACAGTATCATCTACAGAAAATTCTAAAATTCAGGGAGCTTTTCCTTTGCGTTTTTCTCTGGGGATTTGTATATATATATATATTTATTTTTTTTATAGGGTGGAACTTTGGAGAGAACCAAGCAAGTCCTTGGGCATCAGCATTGTTGGTGGTCGAGGGATGGGGAGCCGGCTGAGCAATGGTGAAGTGATGAGGGGTATTTTCATCAAACATGTTCTTGAAGATAGTCCAGCGGGCAAAAATGGAACCTTGAAGCCAGGAGACAGAATAATTGAGGTGACCTCCAGTGAGCTTTCTGTCCATGCTGTTCCCGTTGTCTACTCTTGTTTCCAAGGGAGTTGCCATTCTTTTTTTTTTTTTTTAACTTTTATTAATTACACTTTATTCACTTTGTATCTCCCCCAAACCCCTTCCCCATCCCCTCCTAGTCCCACCTTCCCTTCCCCTTCTTCAGAGTTGCCATTCTTATGTTCACTCCTTGCCCCCGTTAGAGTCAAATGTTTGCCATTCAAGCATTTTCCCTTTTTTTTTTTTTTTTTTTTTTTTTTGTATGGATGTGATGACAAATTATATGTTTGGTGTAAAAACTTTTTAGAGATACAGAGAAACTATTTTAAAAGTATTCGTCCCAAGGAATATAAATTTTAAAAAAGAAATTCTCTTAGGAGAAAATTAAAATACTTAACATCGTATATTCACAGGGAAAACATACATCTCACAGTTAAGTTTTCCAGTAAGATGTTATTTCAAGAAATAGTTTATTGGTCATTTCAATGTAGATAAACTTTGTTGAATGAGGGCTTTTTCTAAGAGAGTCTTTTCTTCTAAAATTTTCATTGTTGAGAACTTGATTACTTTTTAAATGAATTTTTCATAAAAGCTAGGAGCCTCCTCCTTTGCGCTTTGCCCATTTACCGCAGAAGGCCCTGTGTGCACATACATGGCGTATACTTTGCTATACGTAAGAGAGAAAAATAGTCAAATCCCACATCATCCCTAATTAACATTTGGTATCTTTTTTCAGAGTCCTCCAGTACAGTAGAGCCGCGCACACACTTACTAATGTGTATTTCATGAGCAGCCACTGTGTTCCTGCTGCTGCTAGTGTCCACAGCAGACAAGGCACTGTAGCTGCCTGGCCACAAGGAAGCAGAGTAGAGAAGGGTTAGAATGTTGAGAGGTGGGGAGTCTGAACTGGTTTTCCTAACTTACATCGTAGGAAGAAAGGAGAAACTGATAAGTAAAGATGTTTATGAATGTTGTCGGCATTGTGTTTACTTTCTAAAAGTGATTGTCTCATTTCTTCAGTCTATAAGAATTACATGTTAAGTTCAGAAGGTTGCCTGTGGCATAGCAGTCATAATTTAGAATGAGTACTTTGGCCTGGCATTTAGCTCAGTGTCAGGGTGCTCACCACAAGTGCATGCAAGGTGTGGACTTAACTCCCCCAGAACTGGACAGTGAACATAAAATGTTTCAGAATTGGGTTGCTCATTCATTCATCTATTCATTCATTCTCTGAGCCTGAAGAAATGAGAGATAAAAAGTTTGAGAGGAAACAGGCATCTTGTGGCTCTCTTTTTTCTGTGACCATCTATAATAACAAATAACAGGACATAGTGCCCTACTCTCATTAAATGAAATACTAACCCCATTAATACAATTCTTTCTTAGAGTTAGAACCCCATCTAAAAGTTTCACCTCAAATTGTGACTAGGCTGTTTATATTATGTTTAATTATTAAGTACTTTTTGGCTAAAGAGAAAAATAAGAATTATTTGCATTATCTTTAGACATTATTGAGTATTGTTTGCTCCCAAATGCTCTTTAAAACAATTAAAATATTAACTAAAATTAGTAAAGAATGAACCATACTAATTAAAACCTTCCTTTCAAATAGAAAAGAAAGGATGTTTTGGTGTGTGTTGTAAAATACCTGCACGTAGGTTAGTGGTGGCTTCTTCAGTACATTATATCCAGAAAATAGGAAGCCTAGGCCTTTATAGGCCTGGTGATTCTATAACAGGCCTGAACTAGTGTGCTCTAGACTTGAGCAGGGGTATCTAGTTGACATACAGTAGGCATTAATATTGACTTGTTAGAAACATTAAAGGCCATTTTAGTCTGAACTGGAAAATATTGTTATATCAGCAAAGTATCAACCTGAGAGAGGCTTTTAACTAAATGTATATAATTCTATGCTAGGACTTAATGATTGGTTTTCATCTATGAAACTGTGTCCACTCTGAGCTTTACTTAGTAAATGGAAGTGATACCATCCACAATTATCTTGCAGGATTGGCATTTGGCCTTTCTCTACATTCTCTCCTGACCGTCTAGTGTAAAGGCTGAGCCTGATAATCACTCACAAAGCATTATAAAATTACTTTCATTTTTCAAGCTATTTATATAAGAAACTAACAAACACAATTTCTCGGCTTCCAGTTCCTGCTACATCTACTGCAGATTCTTTTGCAAAGCTAACCTTACAGTAGTCTGACCTTTCTGAATATCAGTATTTTGTTTATTCTTTGAATTTCCCTAGGAGAAACCCATGAAGAATTGCTCCTGCCACCATGTCTTAAGTGGGTCACTTTATGAAGAATTAGCAGTATAGCACTGACTTCTTTGAAGGGTCCTGAATGCAGTCTCTCTAGACTGTTTCCTTAATGACACTGACCCAAAAACTGACTCACAAACACAAAAGAGCAGCTAGTGCTGTTAGGAATGCAGAAGGAGAACCCTCACTCCAATTGGTTATGACTCCAGCAGAATTTACATTCAAACCAGGTGCCCCGAGTCCACTGGAGGGATGACAACTGTGCAAGCCTGACTCCTTTTATTTTTGACACTGAAACACATCTCCCAGGATCTCAAGGAGCCTCAGAACTCCTGATCCAAATTGTTCCTTTGTTCTCTAGCTTCGTGAAATGTTAAGCTGAGGCCTTCCATTGCAGGTGGATGGAATGGACCTCAGAGATGCAAGCCATGAACAAGCTGTGGAAGCCATTCGGAAAGCAGGCAACCCTGTAGTGTTTATGGTACAGAGCATTATAAACAGACCAAGGGTAAGCAAACACAAAGGGCAAGGTAGGCATACTGAAACAGTGCTCAACTTGGAGTCTAATGTAGTGAGGACCAAGTTGTTTGCATGTGCACCTAAGACTCAGAAGGTGTTTATAAAAGGTTTCCTATGCTGTATTGAAACATTGAGCTGCCATAAATTTCTTCTCCTCTATATATGAAGACTTGAAAATATATGGAAGTAGAATTAATTTGTTACTATATCAAGTTGATATCTTGTTAGTATTCATTCTGATTAAAAAAAATACACAAATACCTGAACGGAATATAATGTGAAAATAGGTTAAACACCAGTTATTTCTGGTTGTGTGTCTTGGAATCCATAAAGACTTCATTGTTTTCTTAGTTTATTCTTTAAATTGAATCTCTTATCTATGTGGTCACATCATTAGGTCTTAACATATTTGTGTATTCCACTAGATACAGAATGCTCTTAGAGTACATTCTGCTTATATACAAATCATTTCATAATTAATTCTTAGCTAGAGTCAATATATAGGTCATCATAAATCACTGGAGACAGAAACCTACTACCCCATCCAACCCTCAGTCATCATTGTTAAAGTACTTAAAAAATATATTTTAGGAGCCAGTCAGTGTATTGCAATCATAGATGTCCAGAGGCTCAGACAGGATTACAAATTTAATATTATTAGTACTGTGTAGTGAGACTCTGAATGAAAATAACTTTAAGAATATATAAGCACATCAATGGCTATTATCAATAGACAGGATACAAACTGCAGGTTAGTATGTTTGATATGCCCTAGTGATGCCAAAGGTGAACATTTTGCCACTAGTTTAATGTCGGTTTTAATTCCTTCTTTATGCTTCACTGAAAAGTGTCTTCATATGGAGTAGTTATTAAAATTATGTTTCACATAGTCCCAAGAAAGTTATTCAGACATCCACATGCTCTCAGAGTGGGGTTTTCTTAATACTAATTTCCTGAAATTCATCAAACTCCTGAAGCTCCAGGAGACTGTTTCTGGGTGTAGAAGCTTGTGCACCCATTTCCAGAAGCTCTGCTGACTGGCAGGTCTAAGTTTGGTTGGCTTTGAAAGAAAAGTATTCGTACATGTGAGTACAGTCAGAGTCATCATGTGAAACCTAAACTACGTGATGGTAAATGCAAAGTGCGTTGGATTTTACCTTAGCGAACTCAGAATTTAAGATGTTATTAACACTGAAGCGATGGAAGCACAGTGGCAGCACCTGGGAGGGCAGTGAGACGAGCGGAATGAGTCTTTTAGCCTCCCTAGACAGCACCCAGGTTTAAGTCACTGGTCCATCTCCTTGCTGTCAAGACAGGTGTGGCTCTGGTCTGGGGTTCACAGTGTGGAACAAATGTGGTAATTCTTAATATAAGCAGTTCTCGTCACATCTGCAGTTTTTAGCCATTCAGTTGTTTATTGTTAGGTAATAATTATCCATTCAGATAGAAAATCTGCCAAATGATAGGGCTGCCTCACTCTGTATTCTTTGCAAATGCTATTGAGTTTGTTTAAATAACTATAAATCTTCTTACATTTGTTAACATTTGTTGTGTTAAACATAGACACAGCATGGTAATATTGTAAATGGCTGTTTAAGTTGAGTTACAGCTATTTTTTTGTGTGGGAGGGTTTAATTCCCTTTTTTGTTTTATTTTAATTTCTAACTCATAGCATTTAGGATAATATTATAAACTACTGAATAGCGATTCTTAATATTACTTTGAACACTTAAACTACAAACATTTCTTTCAACGCCAATCACATTTTCTAATGAGCTGGAAAGATATTGTCTCATACACCTGGAAAATATTCTTATTTTTTTATTTGAGGCATAATGACACCTAATTTTATAGCAATTATTCCAGGATAAATCTTGCTCAGAAATGACATGTTTAGTCAAGTTAGACACATTTTGCTTTGGGAAACTAGAATTAATTTTGCATGTAAAATGAGATATTCTTTGTTAGTCATGATTTACTTCCAAATGGAAGTAATCAGGCCTCTGGTTTGCTAAAGGAAAAACACCACAAATGCTCTTGCCAAGGAGTCCCTGTGGGACGGAGTTCTCTTTGTGGGCTGAGGAAAATGCTGTGCAGTTGAGAAGCCAGTCTTTCCCTCTGTGCTTTGGCTATTCAAGGAGAACTCCACAACATGTCCCTTCTAATCCCTTCAGTGTGACACTGAGTTAGGGCTGTGTACATTCTGACTCCCGGGTGGGCCCCTTCACCGGCCCTTTAATTCCCTAGGGAAATTTTATCATTGAATTTTTTTGTTTAGCAACCTATCAGTTTTATAACTATTTCCCTATTGATATAAGTGACCTACCATTCCATGTGCATTGCTCCTCCTCAGACAGCACCAAACTGAAATCTTGTAAGGTCTGAAGATTAAAAACTAGAGGTCTCACGGAGTTGCAGGTCTTGTCATCATGGGTCAGTCCTGTTGTTCCACATAGTCACAAAGGACAGGCCCTGGGTCAGCCACGCTTGATGACCAGAAATACTCTCTGCCCACACCTCTAGGACGCCAGTGTCTTCCACTGCCCAGTCATTTCTTTCATCTTACTAAGTGGTCATGTTTCTTGGCACTTATACTCCCCTCTTGAGTAAAGCAGGAGTTGACATTTTAAACTGAAAAGCAGGGAGGAAGTTGAGAGGAACAGAAATGTCATTGTACCCACATCTTTTCCTGCCTTGCCTCTCGGGGAAAACATTGCAGGAAGCACATATTGAAAGGGTAATGTGGCATAAGCGTTGATGCTGGAGCTGGGGGACAGTGTCTCCAACATGCTCTCCCATGTAGGATGGAGTCACATGACCAGCCCCTCCACTCCATGCCTGGCAATCGGGCTTTTTCAGAGAGAAGTAACAGGAACATTTAATTGGAGCCAACATGAATTTTAAATGTCTGCAATTTTCTTTGAAAGATCCAGTCAATAGAAGGAAAAGATAGCGGGTGTGAAAGGAAGAATTTATTGTGCTAAGGAAATTACTTTTTTTTTCTTTTTAAATATGAACGTGCTAAATTCTATTTGGCTGACTTCCTGCCTTTAATATGTATATTCAGCTTTAACAGTCCCAGCTAGGGGCCTACTACAGTCAAGTTATAAAATCTAAGAGAAATACTAAACACAGACTTCAAATATTATCTAGAGCTTTAAATTCTTCAATAATGTAAGAGATATTGTCAGAGTTTTTCTTTTCCTTTATTAAAATATGACTGTCAAATTTCTACAAAAAGTGGTAAGGAGTAGAACACCCTATATAACGAATGAACTTTTTTTTCCACTTCTTAAAGTTTAAAAATGTGATTGTTCTAAATTGGTGTCTACTGGCTGGTCCCAGGGCAATTTCCTTAATGGGTGACAAGGTAAAGGAATGAAAGTTACTGATGTGCAGGCAGGTAAGCACTTACTGTGCATTCTACACAAACAATTGAAAAGTCATGGCACTCATTTCTAAAAGTGAAGGGAAGATCAGGGTTGTGGCTTTTCTTCTGAAATACATGTATGGATGCTCTGGAATCTGAAGGACAGGGTAAATGCACCATGTTAGTAAATCCTTCAGGAAAAATGGAAGAAATGTCAGGTCAGTCATCAATCTGTTTTTCTTTCTGGAGTGATTAGACTCGGGTTTCATTAGAAACAAACTATCAGTAGCTGTTTAAGATAGCTGTTTAAGAAGGAGAAGCTGTGAGCCACTGTGACTGACTTCAGTTTCTCACGGGGAGCTCTAAGGAGTTAAATACTTTGTTCTGGGGGTTGGGTTGTTTTCGGTACATTTCTTGTGCCTTCAGCGCATCTTCTGTTTCCTTTTAGAAATCCCCCTTGCCTTCCTTGCCGCACAACCTTTACCCTAAGTACAGCTTCAGCAGCACTAACCCATTTGCAGACTCTCTCCAGCTCACCACTGACAAGGTTGGATAATGTCCATTGTCTTGTCGTTGCCTTTGCGAATGTTCTGTTGTTTTTAATGTGCCTTTGTCCCACTTCACTGTTTACTACATTTAGTCAGAAAAACAAAGAAAACAACCAGTGTGCATTCTGAGTGGACATGCAAGTTCTTTCTAAGCATTTTGTTCTGCCAGAGAATTTTTTTTTAACCTGAAGTTAAAAAAGAGAATTCAGTGGTTTTCCTGCATTTTAGTGTGATTTAATTTTTATGTTTAAATTTTTGTTGCCATTTGTATAAAATACTTTTAAATGTAATTTTCTTAAACCCTGCATTGTCTTAAAACATCTTCAGATTTGTATAAGATGATCATAAAATCTCTTCTATGAGTTAGTCACTCTGCAGATAATTTTGTGTATATGTGTGTGTGTGTACATGACAAAGCTTTCTGAATATTCATAGAGAAAGTCTATATAAATACTAGAACAGGAAGTATAACTGTTTCTATGATTATCACTTTTTTCTTGGGCATTTTCATAGTCTAATAAAATTATAAAACCAAATTTAAAACAAAAATTTATGAAATTATTTTATATTATAATTTGGTAATAGAAAGGAAGAAAGCTGTCAGTAGTTTTCTTTTAGAAACCACTTTATGAATATTCATTGGATTTTCATTTTACTGTGTCATGGACAAGAGAAGAAGCTGTAGCTGAAGGGATATGTTTTCTGTTACTATAGGAGTTACAGCATTCAAGTACAGTCATCTCCCATTGTTCCCCAACTGACCCTTTTGCTCCCACAACATTTAAGGTTTGTCTCTATGCAACATGTGTAATGTGGGAGTGTTTTTGTTTGACATGCATGTTAATTTTACTCGACGTGTGCACAGAAGCTTGGGTGATTACTCTTGCATTTTTGTTTTTACCAACAAAGTTAAATGACCTTTGTGAAATACATATTTTGTTAACAGATTTTAAGAAGTGTCAATAGCAAGCCATTTACATGATCTTGATACATACAAATAGAAGAGAAGACTTAATTGTCCCTTCAGGAAGAAGGCAAATATTAGTTCTCCAATCAGTCATTTGGCTTGGGTTACAGTTTAAAATGTAGAGTGTTGTGTATGCAATACTGATAGATTTTGAAATGAGAAGAATTTTTCTTTGTTATTAAGTAAAATATCAACAACTTAGAAAGAACTAAAAAATACACATCCAGAGACCTAAATTACTTCATGTTAGCCAAATAATACTTTTTGATGATACAGAGAAGAAATTTTCTTTTTTGCCAGAAAGCTTCTTATGTACATGTCTTTGTTAGTATGCTGTCTGAATTTTGGTTGGATCAAGTGAAGTTTCTGGTGTGCTGGCACATTTTTATCTATATATTATTTGAGAGATTTATAGCACAGCATTCTGGACGACAGCAGGGATTTCATTGGTACTTGTAACTTTTATTTATTTGACCAATGATGCATAAACTGAACATTGTTAGTACAGCAAATTCTACGCCTGAAAATCAGTTGCCGTGAATCTGTCGGTTAATGCTGTTACCTTGGTGGTAAGCTGTGCATTTTGAGTTTGCAAAAAGATTGTATTTAATGTGTGAAAGTCTGGTGTTGATATGTTTCAAGGCATTCCTACTACCAGTTAATCATTTTGAAGTGTTTAGGAGTGTCTTCTGTTAGAACAGGTTAATTTTAGAAAAGAATAAATATACACAAAAATTACAACAGGTTATGTGGGAGTTCATTTTTTTCACAAAGGTGGCATAATGATAGAGAAAAATACGTAGGTTGAAAACCTGAGTGACTGCCTGATGTTGGTACTTGGTTTGATTGTCCCTGATCTTGAGACACAGGTACTGTCTTACTGTGGAAGCTGGAGAAGATAGCAAGGTTTAACGTAAATGCATTGTGGTAAGAACTAAATAGATAGTGACTGGCAAGATCACTTAGCAGTTCTAGGTGCTTGCCACCAAGACCAGTGGCCCGAGTTCAGTCCCTAGAAACCTCCTGGTGTGGGAGCCAGCTCTAGCAAGCTATTTCTCTGTGCTCTGCACCCATCCTGAAGCATGCGTACTCCCAGTCACCCACTCATACTAATATGGGAAATAAATAAATGTAATAGAAAAGAACTGCGAAAAAGACTAGCGCTGGATTTTAAGCAAGATTTTTCCTTCACAGGTCTTAGTTTGTTCATCTGCAAAATAAATGAGACACACTGGCCTTTCAAATTCTAACCCGCTGCCAGATAATAACTCATATAAGAACTTGTTTATACTGAATCATATTTTAAAATAGTAGCAGTGCTCCTGAGTGACAACAGGCATGACATACCTAGCTTTGTTTAATGGATCCCTTGTGAGCCCCTGTGGCATTAAAAACTTGGAGGTGATCTTAACCCACACACAAAAGAACCGGGGCTGTGGGCTCTATGTTAACAGGCAGGCTATCCTACAACAACCTACATGTGTAGGCTTATTTCGTATGGATTTGTTCAAAGATATTCAGGGAGAGGAGTCAAGCAGCAACAAAAAATTGTTCATATAGTGCTGGAGCTGTGACACAGAACACTTACCTAGTATATTCAGGATCCTGGGGGCAGTCCCCAGGTCTACAGAAAAAGTCTTGCTCACAGGTTTTGTTGTTATTTTATTACATTTATTTATGTTGTTAGTGTGGGTGTGTGGACATGCACATGTATGGTCTACATTACAGATGTGGAGGTCATAAGTTGATTTGTGGGAGTCAGTTCCTTCCTTCTATGGTGGGAGCCCAGGGATTGAACTCAAGCCTTGAGATTTTGCTCAGGTGCCTGCACCTAAAAAGCCGTCTCAGTGGCCTTCACTAACAAGTTGTAAGGGATATGTTCTTTGTTGATTTGCTTTCTATTTGTTTGTTTTTTTAACAGCCTTAAATGTCCCATAAGATCTTACATGCATCCTTACTTTTTTATTTCCCAAACAGGGAAATTTGAATATTTTTCTTTCTTAGGTCATTAAACCTTTAAATTGAATTTTTCATTGGTTTGCATCAGCAAATAACAACTTCATGAATTGTGCTGATTCCCAAATCCTTCCCAACATTTCCTGCATGCACATACAAGCTCTCTGTTATTTGGAGGACATTATAGAGCTGGCCATTGGTTTTGGAATTATTTTTTATTTGTTTTCTTCTAAGTTCTCATGAGATTGCACATGCCCACTGAATTCTTCTTGTCCCCACAGGCTCCCAACCAGTCAGAATCTGAGTCAGAGAAGGTCGCATTGTGCGATGTTCCTGCCCCCTCTCCTTCAGAGATGGGTAGTGATTGTGTGCAGCCATCTGCAGTCCTAGAAGATGATGACAAAGAGGATGAGTTTGGTTACAGCTGGAGTAAGTTGTGTGTTTGAGATGTCCTTAATTATACGCAGTATTAAAATATCTCTGGGTTCATTTTGTATGAACAAATGGTTCACCTTTAGTGATATATGCTGCAGTTGTAAGTAGAACTACTGTTTGTTTCCCTTGATTACTACTTGCATTGTTAAGGCATAACATCACCTTCCCTTTCTACTTTAAATGCACGTTTCTCATAAAGCCCTCTTGCTTCTCATATGACAGTTACAGCCATCAAGACATCCTCTTAAAATCCAGTATGGGTTTAACTATCTTGAACAACCACTGCCCTTTACAGGCCTTAGACTCCTCTTTGTAGTATCTGATGGTTATTGTTATTATGTCCTGAACCTCTGAAATTAAATGATGACATTATAATTATTAAAATCAGCTCTTTGGGCATCTGGCAAATGCAGTTTTAAATGCAGTTTTCTCAGGTTACTACTACTGTACTGGGTAACATCTACGGTATGCTAAGACAGTGTCCAATGCAAAAATGAGGCAAAAGTCATGAATGTGTCATCATAGTAAAAAGTTCAATTAAAAAAATTGTTTTAGATTTATGTGTTTGATTTTATGTGGATGAAAGTGTTTTTAAAATGAGGCTTCCTCTGGCTTTTAATTTATTTTTTTTACAATTTATTTACTTTATATCCCGATTGTAGCCCCGTCCCTCCCTTTAGCCCTATTTCTCAGAAGGGGGAGCTCTCCTCCCCTACCGTCTGATCCCAGCCTATCAAGTCTCATTGGGACTACCTGCATTTTCTTGCCCTGTGGCCTGGCAATGGAGCCCCACCAGGGGAAAATGATCAAACAGCAGGTAACAGAGCCCATGTCAGAGACAGCCCCTGTTCCCCTTACTAAGAAACCCACATAGAGACCGAGCTGCCTATCAGCAACAACTGATCAGGGGGTCTAGGTCTTCTCCATGCATGGCCCTTGATTAGTGCATCAGTCTCTGCAGGCCCCCACGAGCCCAGATATGTTGTCTCTGTTGGCCCTCTTGTGGAGCTCTTTGTCCACTCTGGGTCCTTCTCTTTCACCACTCTTTCCTAGACTCTCTGAGCTCTGCCCACAATTTGGCTGTGAGTCTTAGCATCTGCTTCAATCCTCTGCTGGGTGGAGTCTTTCAGAGGACATTTATGCTAGGCCCCATCCTGTTTCCTCTCGACCACTTCCAGTGTCTATTCTGTTTGCCCTTCTGAATGAGAATTAAACATCCTCCCTAAGGTCCTTCTCATAAATTTGCTTCTTTAGGTCTGTGGATTATATGACTGTATTATATGACTAATATCAGCTTATAAGTGAGTATATTCCATGAGTGTCTTTCTGATTCTGGATTTCCTCTCTCAGGATGATCTTTTCTAGTTTCATTCATTTGTCTGCAAATTTCATGATTTCCTGTGTTTAATAGCTGGGTAGTATTCCATTGTGTAAATGTACCACAATTGTTTTATCTGTTCTTTGGTTGAGGGACATCTAGGTTGTTTCCAGATTCCGTCTATTACAAATAAAGCTGCTATGAACATAGTTGAGCAAATGTCCCTGTTGAGTAGTGGAGCAACTTTTAGATATATAGCTGCGTCTTGAGGTAGCACTATTCCCCGTTGTCTGAGAAAGTGCCAAATTGAATTTTAAAGTGGTTATACAAGTTTGCACTCTGACCAGCAAAGGAAGAGTATTCTGCTTTCTCTACATTCTCACCAGCATGTGCTGCCCCTTAAGTTTTTTATCTTAGCCATTCTGATGGGTGGAATCTCAGAATAATTTTGATTTTCATTTCCCAGATAATTAAGGATGTTGATCATTTTCTTAAATGTTTCTCCATCATTTCCTAGTCCTCTGTTGAGAATTCTCTGTACCCCATTTTTTAATTGGGTTATTTGGTTTGTTGGAATTTAATTTCTTGATTTCTTTATGTATTTTGGATATTAGCTTTCTGTTGGATTTAGGTTTGGTAAGATCTTTTCTTCAATGAAAATGAAGGAAGAAAGTTTTTACCTGAATATATGTGTCTATACCATATGTGTGCCTGGAGCCCTCAGATGCTCTGGAACTGGAGTTATAGGTGGTTGTAAACTACTTTTGTGGGTGCTGGTAAGTGAACATGGGCTCCTTGCAAGAGCAACAAATGCGCTTAGCTCTGGGCTACCTCTCCAGCACTCAAAAAGTTTCATTTTAAAATCCTAATTGTTTGCTTTAAGGAAGCTGAAGTTGACAAAAATTAGAATGCATAGAACATGAAAGTTACCCTGCTTGATTGTGAAATGAGGCCAGAGATGTTCAGTTAACTGATGTAGGAAAGAGTCCACATAAGTGCAGGGCATCAGCCCTGGAGTCATTTTCTAAGAGGTGACTTGTCAAATGTGATCACCTAAGCAGAATTATCTGAATGTTACAGGAGGTCCTTTGTTTTTTAAACCAGTTACCATAAAGCAAAATGGCTTAAAATAAAAACTTATGACCACTTACATGGGATGATTGACATGTTCACCAGGTCTCTACTTCTCTAAGATGACTCACTGGCATAGGCAACAGGGTTGGGCTTTTCAGTGAGCCTGACATGGGCTTTTGCTTTGACCACCTACTTGTGTCCTTAACCTCTCAGATTAAAGTGGGAGGACAAACTATTGACCAGGAAATCTGTTATCATGTAGCCAGGACAGATTGTTTAAAGCTGTGACAAGTATATTGCCTTGTCCTGACCTGATGGCCGTGTACCCTGGGGAAGACCGGTCTCTTCCTGTGGATAGCTGCCTATCATGATGGGCAGATTTGCCTCTGTTGGAGAAGCTTCCATTGCCCAGTGAACAAAAGTATTCTGGACTCTCTGGCTCTGCCCTCCTCTTCAAGTGATTACTTGATTTTTCTGGTTTAATCATAGTCTACTGAGAGTTTATAAATTTCAGTCACTTTTGTTGGACCCATTACTAGCATGGTTAAGTGGCTAGTCTCACATTATGCTGTGTTTACCCTTAATGCGTCGAATTCCCTCAGGGTTTGCTTATTCTGGGAAAACAGTCCTGATGTCCAGACAGCCAGTCTGTCTAACTTTTAACTGCCAAAGAAATTATTTTGAAGCAAATAATGTCCCTTAAGATAAATCTAAATACTCTTTTATATTAAATCATTTGGCTGTGAATTAACTGTAAATGCATTTGTTATGTGTAGAAAATATCCAAGAGCGTTATGGAACTCTGACAGGCCAGCTCCACATGATTGAGCTGGAGAAAGGTCATGGCGGTTTGGGCCTGAGTCTTGCTGGGAACAAAGATCGAACCAGAATGAGTGTGTTTATAGTGGGGATTGATCCCAATGGAGCAGCAGGGAGAGATGGCCGACTACAGATTGCCGATGAGCTTTTAGAGGTAGGTGCTGGTAGACAGTTTTGAATTTGCTATTGTATCAGATAGTGGAAACCCCAGTTTCCAGAAAGTCACCCAGACACTGTATAGTGACTAAGAAAATTGTCTGTTGCCTAATAAAATTGATTCAGTGCAGCAAATTTGACTCAATACCAAATCTCTACAGCATAGTTTGTGTCCCATTAACTCACATTAAAGGTCATGACTCTGCGTCACCAGAAACAGTTTTTTCCCCAAGATAGCAATAAAAATCACACTTCAAAAACATTTTTTTTGTGTGTGCTTTATTTTTATTGCGAGTTTTTGACATGCCAAATGACCAAGCATTCCCCAGTAATGATGCTGACCCACTGGACATTCTGGAGGTCAAATCCCTAAAGAAGTAAGTATTGGGGGTGAGATGAGATGAGATGAGGTCAAGGCTAATGCAAGCCGTATCTCAGCCTGCCAACCAAAATAGATCTACAGACCATACTTTATAGTGTTTAGACTTTGTTTGCTTTTCCTTGCCTCCTGAGGCAGGATCAGCAGGACTTCATACTGCCTTTGTGCTTTTCCATGTAGTGCAGTATCTCTGCTGTCTAGACTAGCTCTGGCTTCGGTGGCTCCGTGACTGGACATCTGTGATGGCAGTTTCATTTCTGTAGAACGCTGTGCTGCTTAAAGCTAGTCTGCTGCCACGTCCCACGTCGCTCACAGGAAAAACTTTGAGTACCCTGTTTACCAGAGCATGCTTCTAAGGCCAAGGCTTGCCCGGGTGTTCTCTACAGGCCACAGGAATGACTTTGAATGCCCTGTTTACCAGAACATGCTTCTTAAGGCCAAGGCCTACCCGGGTGTTCTCCGCAGGCCACAGAGACCTTGTCAGGAAGCTGGCTGTCTTCTCTCTTTATTTGGTCAAAATTGTGTTCCTACAGACTGTCCAGATATATCAGAATTTATGTATGTCATCTTAATGTTAGTTTTAAACATGAGATCTTCTATATTCATCATCCAAATTTTGGTTTGTGTTCTGAAGAGGAAAGATGTATATAGCATGATAGAGAGAGCAATTCACTTTTTATTAGCTAGACAGGATGATAAAAAAACTAAAGTAATGAATAATTTTAGATTTAATTAATGATACTTTCTCCTCATAGATCAATGGCCAAATATTGTATGGCAGAAGTCATCAGAATGCTTCATCAATCATTAAATGTGCTCCATCTAAAGTAAAAATTATTTTTATCAGGTGAGCATTTTCTCTGTTTGGTTTACTGACTATATTTCACCTTTGAATCATTTTCAATGAAAAGAAAACAATTATATGTATTTCTACTTTGGGATTTATGGCTTTGAGGACAGACAATTTGTTCCTAATAGTCTTTATGATTCTTCAAGTAAGAGGATGGGAATAGTATAATAATATGATGGACTGATGCATTCTTCTTTTAGAAATGAAGATGCAGTGAACCAGATGGCTGTATGTCCTGGAAATACAGCAGACCCTTTGCCTTCAGCCTCAGAGAGTCCTCAAAATAAGGAGGTAGCTGTAATATTTTTATTTCTTGAGGAAGATTACATTGATATACACCATTAATTTAGTTAACCATTATAGAACATTACAGGGATTAAAAGATAATCACCAGACAGCACTTACATGAATAGACACACAACTTTTGCAAAGGATACCTGAAAAGCCTGCATATGCGGTCATGAGAGGAGACGGATGTTTGGTTCTGCTCTGGAAAGAGATGTTATGGAGGAGTTACATGTGAACAGTGTAGTGGAAGGTTAGGAAACAGAAGTCTTTTGCCAGGATACATGGGGCAAGGAAGAACACACACTCCAACAACTACCTGAACCTGACAACTACAAACAATGTTTTTTTTTTCATTCTTTTTAAAAATGTTTTGATTAATTACACTTTATTTACTTTGTATCCCCCCTGTAGTTCCCTCCCTCCTCCCCTCCCAACCTCTCCCTTCCTCCTCCTTCTCTACGCATGCCCCTCCCCAAGGCCACTGATAGGGGAGGTCTTCTTTTTCTTCCTTCTAATCCTAGTCTGTTAGGTCTCATCAGGAGTGGCTGCATTGTCTTCCTCTGTGGCCTGATAAGGCTGCTCCCCCTTCAGGGGGAGGTGATCAAACAGCAGGCCAATCAGTTCATGTCAGAGACAGTCCCTGTTCCCATTACTATGGAACCCACTTGGACACTGAACTGCCATGGGCTATATCTGTGCAGGGGTTCTAGGTTATCTCCATGCATGGTCCTTGGTTGGCGTATCAGTCTCAGAAAAGACCCCTGTGCCCATATTTTTTGGTTCTGTTGCTCTCCTTGTAGAGCTCCTGTCCTCTCCAGGTCTTACTATTTCCCACTTCTTTCATAAGATTCCCTGCACTCTGCCCAAAGGTTGGCCATAAGTCTCAGCATCTGCTTTGATATCCTGCAGAGTAGAGCTTTTCAGAGGCCCTCTGTGGCAGGCTGCTGTCCTGTTCCCTAAAGTCCATCCTGTTTGCCTTTCTGAATGGGAATTGAGCATTTTAGCTAGAGTCCTTCTTCTTGATTAGTTTCTTTAGGTGTACAGATTTTAGTAGGTTTATCCTATATTATATGTCTATATGAGTGAGTATATACCGTGTGTGACTTTCTGCTTCTGGGATACCTCATTCAGGATGATCTTTTCCAGTTCCCACCATTTACCTGCAAATTTCATGATTTCCTTGTTTTTTATTGCTGAAACTACGAACAATGTTAAGGAAGGGAATGGAGAAAGTAATGTTGAGTGGCAGGAAAGGGTCGTTGAGAAAGAAGATGTGCTCAGCTCTCAGGAACCACTGTGAAGTCCAGCCTGTCAACTTCCATCATTGTGAAAATTCTCTTTTAAATGTGTCGGGGTCCCTGCAATATTATTGCCAGCAAAGAAGCAAACCATAAGAGGCAAGAAGGAAACCCAATTCAGCACAACTTGGCTGGGCTGGTTCAAAGTTCTGGGCTCTGAACCCAGCCAGTTTATTTTAGACATATTTAAGTACAATACAATTTTGGAAGAAAGTTTCCTGGTAACAGTTACCTTAATCCATGTGTACCATAGAGCTTAAGGCATAACTACATCAAAACTCTTTTGCAAAGTCCATGTGACCTCTACCATGAAGAAGCGTTCTGTAGCTTAAGGACCTAGGATCTGATGTGGTCTCTAACCAAGATTGTTTAGAGGTCACTGGCCATGAAGTATATGGGACATCTCTAAGGATAGGTTTTATTGACTAAGAAGCAATACTGAAGATGAAGGTCTAGGAGGAAGAGTTTGGGGTAAACATCATAGTCTGGCCCTACAGAGAGTACAATCTACCAGGCAGTCCACAACATCAACTCCCATATTTCTGGGCGTAAAGCAGGCGTACATCACCCTTGAAGAGACAGCCCGCGTGCTTCACATTCCTGCTTTCCCTAGTGCTTGTCTGTGAACAGAAAGCCCTTGTGCTCTCTACATAAATGAATGACAGTTACACTTTCAGACTCTTACTATCAGGCATTTCACGGCAGAGAAATTAAATGTGAGGAACAACAGAAACAGTTCCGGAAAAAAGACAGTGAGGACCTACATATAGTACAACAGGGGGAGAAGGAATGGTCACTAGAGAGGTTTTAGACCCACCCAATAATATTTGCACACACAGATGTACTTACTGAGAAAAAGAGTTGTAAAATTTTTCTTCAACAGACATTTTTAGAGTAATTTGATGATTTGGTTAATGAACGGTGGCCAAAATAGAAGGAAGTCCAAGGCTTTCTTCCATATATCTTACTTTACTAACTGAACTACAAGAGATGGGCTGATATTTGCATAACCATCGCACTGGCCACTTCGGGATGCCTACCGGCAAGTGCTGTACAGCAAGCATGTGCACTGCTCGTACTTTCACTGGGGCTGGGGCTTTTCCTGCTTTTGTCGTTGAGCAGGCTGCAGGTAAGGAAGCCTGATGAGTGAACATTCAGATATGCCCTCTGAAGTTTAGACCCAAGTTCCCAGGGAGCATATTGCACGTGTTGGTCCTGGAGGCTAAAATACTGGCTTACAGAGAACTTTAGCAGAGAAGAAAGCAAAGGGTGGCTTGTGCAACGTGGACATGTTAAGGAGGAAGCTGAAAAAGAAAAATCACGAGGAGGAAGAGAAACAGTACACTCTTGGACAGCAGCGAAGGATTTCAAAGTGGATCCTATGGTCTGAGATGCTGCAGAGAGGGAGGCCCTTGGATCTGCAACTCAGTGATGATGAGAAGCAAAACAACAGAGAAAGAGAGAAAGGCAGCCTCTAACGGTTAACAAAGAATTATGTTTGGTGCTAGTTTTTGTTTGAATTTAGAAATCTTTGGATTCTTGTCTAAGGACAATAAAGAAGACAGCAGAGACAGAAGAGCTTAAAATTAAAGGAGCCATGGGGTTGTCAGTGGCAGAAGATGAGGGTGGAATTCATTCTTCCTTCAAGAAATGTTTGAGCAGAATGCTTATATACATATCAGACAGATACAGAAATTATAATCTGCTTCAAGCTGTTTCCTTGTGGTACCTAAGGTTGGGTAAGTTATAGATGGCAAGCTTGTGTTTTCATAGTGTACCAACTTTGCCCCTGAAACACTATATTGTAGTAATTTTAGGGAAAGCATTTCATGATTTCAGAATACCGATCATAACTCGTGGGGTAAGACAGATGCATCGCAGCATTTCTGCGAGTGTAGGCTGCTGCTGGAGTGCAGTGTGGAGTAAACCCAGGCGACAGCCAAACCACCTGAGTATGCTCCAAACACACCCCCAAGCATTCTGATATAAAACACATAACTACCAGCAGATATTAAAATACAAGTAACATATAACATGAAATAATTCAGATTAAGTGGCTCTTACATTTAAGCAAACAAAAATAGCTAACAGTTACCTTTTGGACATTTTTCTTTTGTCAGGTGGAACCAAGTATGGCAACTTCTGCTTCAGCTGTGGATCTCAGCTCACTTACAAATGTGTTCCACCTGGAGCTTCCCAAGGTACATCTGCTTTGACTGGGAGCTAAATGACTGAGTGCCCTCACCCACTGGTCCTGTTTGCTAGCTCCCTGAAGCAGGGTCTCCAGAAAGCAACATCTGCACCATCTGGGGTCTTGATAGAAATGCAGGTGCTGGGATCCACCCAGGCCTCCTGTGAGTGAGGGCCTCTTGGGGATGGGCTGGAAGTCTGCTTTAATAGGCCACCTTGATTGCACTGCACAGTAAAGCCTGGAGACTGCTGGGCTGCTCAGTCCTTTCCTGTGGTACAGCTTTTCCTGGCCTTACTGTTATTCAAGGATAGGAAATGTGCTGTCTCTCCTTGATTCATTTACTGAGATCCTGCTCAGAAGATACTAAAATAAACAAGTCAAAATCGCCAGTGTTCATAAAACTGAAGTAACTAGAAGTTTAGCTGACAGGCTGATGCTTAGTGAGGTATTTGTCTGGCAAAGGTTTGACTTTCAGGTTCGAGTATTGCTTACTGAAGTGGTTTGATGAAAAACAACACGTTTTCACCCATGACAGCTCATCCTGAAAAGCAAGTGCACATGGTGGATTTGAACAGAGAAGGAAGGGTTCAGCCACTGGAGGTGAAGGAAGTGGGGCAGAGCAGAAGGGTAATACAGGAAATGCTGCAAACATGGATGGCTGGAGTAGCCCATTTCCTCCAGCCATGAGGCAGTGGCAGCCTGATCCTTTGAGCCTGGATCATTCTGTCTGGACAGTGCCTGGTTGTCACCAGAAATGAGCTTTATTGCATTTGTTTCTTTCTCTGTAATTTGAAGATAATAGTTGTACTTTTGTTTAAGTCAATCATGAATAGTAAATGAATTACTTATTATAGCATAATTCCTACTACACAGCCAGACTATTGGAAAAACACCCGTATTGTATTGATTTTATTTCTTTCTGTAACGAAACAGACCTGTACAAAGGTGGGCTACTTCAGTCTTTTTAATATTTTATTACCTTTTTGAGGATGTGCACATAGTATATCAGAACACTTCCCTCCAATTCCTTTAAGAGCCTTCTGTCCAATTCCTTTAAGAGCCTTCTGTCACCATCCGCTTCCCTCCCAACTTCATATCCTGTCCTCCCTCCCTCAGCTTGTACCATCCACATCCTCCTGGGTGACATACCAGGAACCATACCCTTAAGCCGTCAGGTCTCATGAGCCACTGCCACTTCCACCACCACCAATGCAGGGATGCTTGAAATTGTACAGGAAGCCACAGCTGCTGTGAGGTCTTATGGGTATAAAATGGAAGTTTTTTATTAATTACAGTTTATTCACTTTGTATCCCCCCATAAGGCCCTCCCTCCTCCCCTTCCAGTCCCATCCTCCCTTCCCTTCTTCACGCATGCCCCTCCCCAAATCCACTGATAGGGGAGGTCCTCCTCTCCTTCCTTCTGATCTTAGTCTATCAGATCCCATCAGGAGTGGCTGCATTGTCATCTTCTGTGGCCTGGTAGGGCTGTTCTCCCCTCAGGGGGAGGTGATCAAAGAGCAGGCCAATCAGATTATGTCAGAGGTAGTCCCTCTTCCCATTACTATGGAACCTACTTGGACAGTGTTTTTTAAACTTTCATTTAGTGGGGGAGGGGGTAGGTTGCAGTGGAGATGACTGGAACCTTGTGTTGTTATGTTGAAAATCCAAAACCTTGGAGAAGGTCAATGCATTATTCACAAAATATTCCACTTATATTGTAGTTTTATGGTAAAGTAAAATATTGGGGAAGTGGAATGTTTCTTTTATTAACTACCAAAGGACACAGAGAGAATATTTAGGAATCTTTTAAAACAAGCTAGACAAATAGGCAAATAATCATTATTTTCAGGATTTTCACTATGAACATTAAGTCACTAAGTTCTTTGGGTTCACATTCCTTATCTTTACGGGGTATACAAATATACTGGAGAAACTATCCTGGAGTTAAGTGAAATAACTTATATAAAAAAACTCTTGTCACCATGCGAGTTCCCACAATTTTTAAACCTGTGAGGTTATGAGTGGCCTGTAGAATATGTTATTACAAGCTTCCTTTGTAGAGATCTTTACTAAAAAATGACAAGTAATATATCCTGCCAAGCCTGTGCACAGTTCACTCTATGATGATGGCATGGGACTGGAATACAGGGAACCAAAAAACCAGAGCCTTCTCACACTGATGGCTCACTTCAGGTCCTCTGTCCCTTAATCCTCCAGAATTTTTTTAAAATTTTGTCATTTGAAAGTAATTTAATAGTAATAGAACTTTTGTTCATAATGCCATCTACTGCTTAATAACTATGAAAGATTGCCATCACCGCCCCATCCTTCACTGCTGCTGTCTTCCTACCCAAGGCCACCTCATTGAGGTGTTTATGTGCTCTGCCATTCCAGCCCCTATTCTGAACTTGAGCGGGGAGCCTAATAACAGGCCGTTTCTAGTTCTGTTGTAGAAACACCATTGACTGTTTCGATTACCTTTTTCCCTTATAAGCTACTCTTTTAAAAAGTGAGGGGATTATAAATATAAAATAAAGCTCTTGTGTATATAATCTATAGTCTCAGTGGCGATCTGTGGTTCTCATTCAATTAATTAAAAAACTGACGAGAAATTTATTTTTAGTACTCTTTATCCTAGAAAAGTAACTATACATCGCAGCAAGCAACAGATTCAGCTACTGCCAGAGACCAACTTCATATTCACATGATTTTATACGGAACTCCTCAAGCAGAGTTGCAGCTTTTTCTTCTGAATTTTAGAAAGCTGTTCCGTGTCCGGTATTAACAGTGTTGGCTCAGCTTGTCTCACTCGTAACTCTTGTTGACAGTTCTGGCTGTGCAACTTTGTGATCCCTCCAGAACCGTCCTGCATGGTGGCATTTAGCTCAGGACAGTGTCTGTGTCCTCTCCTGCTGTGGAAGGACTTCATAGGCTGTGCAGGAAGTGAGTTGGAGAGTTAGCAGTAAAATGCATGTGCACTTCATACTCTCCCTTCGCATGTGTTATCCTGCTCCTCTGATACCGTTTGTCTGCAATATTTGCACTTAATTTTGTAGTGTCCTCAGTGGGGTTAGGACATAATATACATGAAGAAGTGTGGCTTTCTGTTCCTTTGGAACTACTGTTGAAAACAACAAAAAACACAAGCAAAAAAGAAGCAAACGGGAGAAAAATTAACTCCATCAGGCTCAAAAGAAGAGCTTTGGACTTAGTCTTGAAGCACAATTGATTCCAAGACTCACTCATGTCATCAAGCGCCCAGTCTTTCTGCACAGTCATACACAGTGTGACTCCAAAGCTGATCTTCATTATAGCCCTAGATTGGCTGCCAGCCTTAGTTACGGTCTCTCCCACCTTATTAACATGTGATGGGGGAGAGGTGAGAGGTCCTGTTCTCTGAATGTCACAAGCTCCATCCTAACCACCAGCCCAAGTCACGTGCATACTCTAGCCAGTGATGGCTATGGGAATCAACTATAGAATTGACTGGCGTTACTCAATTCCCATCTTTGAAACTACTTACTTTTCTTTACATAAAAAAATTACCACAAACCTCAATTAACATAAAACTGATATTTGCTGTATCTCAGTTCCTGTGAATGTGGAATTTGGAACAGGTCTTCTGGATGTTCAGGCTTAGAGCCTCCTATATAGTTCCTGACAAACTGCCAGGAATAGCCAGTCGGTCACTGGGAGGTTGCACTGTGGGTGGTCATTGGTTCTACTTCTAAGGTGATTTCATTGAATGAATGTAGGCAAGTAATTGCTTTCCTTTCTGTGGCACATCTGAGTATTCCCCTGCTATGGCGGTAGACTTCCCACAGAAATAGTGATCAAAGATAACCAGAAAGCAGCAAGCCTTAATGCAGCCATATTTGATTTATGCTACTGTATTGGGTTCTTATACCTCTACTTCTCTTCCAACCCTTATCTACCCTAATCTCTTCCAATCTCCTAACACTAGGTAGGAGAGAAAGAAGGTTAGAGGGGAAAGGAAGCTTAGATCTCCATAGGCTACCTCCTGTTAAGTATGGATGTAGTTCCTTGGGGCGAGTCCAGTCTTCATCATCAGGCTATACAACACGCCAGCAAAGCAGCAATAGCAAATGCAAGAGCAAACACAGCAGGACAAACCAGCAGCAGCAGGGAGAGCAGCAGACCCTGCTGGGACTCTCTCCTTTATACTTATACCCTCTCAAGAGAGTTCAGAATTACACTGTCTGCAGCTGGCACAAATCACTCCCCTGACAGAGCACAGAGCACGAGGCATATTGTGGTTAGCTGTTGTGGACAATCAGAAGCAGGCCCATATTCCACACCTGAGATTAAAACAAAAATATATTCATATACTGTAACTGAGTTTTTTAAGAAACCAAAATTCTCACCACCTTAGTGTCTTTTGTAACCCAGCTATGAAATTATATTCTGTCACTTGTTTCATTAGAATCAAGTCAGTGAGTCTAGCCCATCTGCCTAGGTTCACTGTTTTAATGGGAGGAATAGTAAGATTTGTGTATGTGTATTTTAAAGTCACCATGCAAAGCACAAGTAAGGAGGAGAGAAAGGAGGAGAGAAAGAGTAAAGGTGAGGAAGATGGAAGAAGAGTGAGAGGCAGTTGGTATAGTTGGTCCCTGGAGGAACTAGGTGTGCTAATTAAAATGCACTCATTACTACCTAGGGTACAGTGAGAATAGGTGTTCAGTAACCAGCCGTGTTAATAAAATCAATTTCCCACTAAGTGGAAAGTGCTGTTATCATTTCATTTTTTAGATAAGAAAGCTTTGATTTGTTTTCCTCTTCAGTAGGAACATTAGCGATACCGTGACACACATGGGTAGAAGGTAGATTCAAAGCCAGAAACCCACCCTTTGATGGCAAGTGTGGCTTCAGGTGTGTGCTCCTGAAAGTCCACACATGTTTTCCTTTTCTCCACTTGACTTTGTATGAAGTTTCTCGCGATGACAACTACAATGCAAAAAGTGACTAGCTCTGGCTAGAACAAAACCTCAAAACTCCATTTTAATTTTATTAAAGTAATCAGAAAGGAAGGTAAAAGTCACTGCTATTATACATTTGGAGTTTGATTTTATTTTAATGTCAAAAAATATAAATCCGTGTGGTGTTGACTCTGCAGCCGTGGCCAATACGGGGGCATAGTTTAGGCACAGAGGCATGTGTACTCATTCTGCAGCAGATGAGGACTCTTCTCTTGAGAAATGACTCTGAGAGTTGTGCCCCAGAAGGGACAGAGCCTGCAGTACGAATTTCTTCTGTCATTGCAAAGAGTTGTAATTGTTTCCTGACTGGTATAATTTCCTTCTGTAGGATCAAGGAGGTTTGGGCATTGCCATCAGTGAGGAAGAAACACTCAATGGAGTCATCATCAAGAGTCTAACTGAGCACGGGGGAGCAGCAAAGGTGACACTCTAGCTTTCTTGTCTTTGAGAAGTGGTGGAAGGGGGTTAAATAGTTCTGAAATGTTACTCAGGTCTACATTTCACCATAGGATGGAAGGCTCAAGGCTGGAGATCAAATATTGGCTGTTGATGATGAACTTGTTGCTGGGTGTCCTATTGAAAAGGTATTTTTTTCCAATAAATGCAGTGGTTCTGCCAACCTATCCTTTGGCCTGGCTCAAGTGGGGCATATGAATTAAGAGTGGGCAGATATGTAGATAGGATTACTGTTTTCAAAAAGAGGCTTTTCCTCAGGTTTCTCAATTTTTGTTTTCTGTTTTCTTTTTTTGCTCTCGTTTTTTTGTTTTGTAATCAAAATGATGTTATGAGTCTGGCTGATTAATTATTCAGTTTTCATTGTTATTTTTAATCAACGTTGCTTCTGTTTCTTTTGAGAAACCTGTAACTACTAAACAGAAACTCATTTCATGCTGAGAATAAGGCTATATTTCCTTATGAATGTTTACTGTTACGTAGCTGTTATGTAAATTTCTATTAAATAGATTTGAAAATGCAGCCTTTACATGTCTGACATCTGTTGGTGTTGAATACCTCTTTTTGTCAGGAGTTTCAGTGATGGTATTTGTATATAAATGCCAGGAAAAATGTTGTTTTCCTTGGGATATAATATGCTCCCTGCCCCCTTCTAGGGTTTAATCAGTTTCTGCATTGGCCAGCAAGAAGTTTAAATCTATGTAAACAAATCAAAATGAAACAACAACAACAACAAAAAAACCTCTTTAATGCTTTTGTTTTTCTTCTTTTTTTTTTCCTAAGTATTAGTTTATTACTTACACAGTATTCTGCCTGCATGTGTGCGTGCATGCCAAAAGAGGGCATCAGATCTCATGATAGATGGTTACGAGCCACAGTGTGGTTGCTGGGAATTGAACTCAGGACCTTTAGAGGAACAGCCAGCACTCTTAACCTCTGAGCCATCTCTCAGTTTTAGTTGTAATGACTATGTAGCTTGAATTCTTTAATCTAGAGATCCGATTTTTACTTTACATTTGCCTTCACTATACTGTGGCTATGTTTGCTGCCCTGTTTTTCACATGTGCTTGTCAATATGCTCCTGTCTAGTTAGAAAAGTTTGTAGAAGCTGCACCAGATACCTGGCAGAACAAGAAAGTGGACAAAATGTGTTCTGTGTCATTTATGTTGTAGGGATCCAGGGAAATCACAAGAGTGGTTAAAAATGTAATAAGTTGAAAGCCACTCCCTCATTATACTAACATAAAGAATCTTGCAAAGCTGGTCTAGAAGGAGAGTAGAAGTTAGCCATAGCCATAATCTCACTGGACAATTGAAGGACTAGAGGAGGCATTTCTTTCTTGGACTCTCCAGGAACCACAGTGAAATCATTTGTGTCTTTCTTTCTTTATAACACATGAGTTAGAGCCCAACAACATTGGGTGTGGGGAGTAAGCTCTGCCAATGAAGTGCCTAAGAATCTGAATCTGTGGGGCTAGGGTTGGGGTTCAATGGTAAATAGTGCATCCAGATGATGGATATTCTGTGTCCTGCATCTATATCAGATAGCTTATAGTACCTGCACCTCAAGCGCCAAAGGATCTGACACCTTTTTCTAGACTCCACAGGCACCTATATACATGAGTCTCTCTCTCTCTCTCCCTCTCTCTCTCTCTCTCTCTCTCTCTCTCTCTCTCTCACACACACACACACACAAGGGGGTAGATTGATAAATGATAAATCTTTAAAACACAAGTAAACAACCTGAGTTGAATGGTAAGATTCTATGTTAAAAGAAGAAGGAGCAGGATAAGAAAACACAAAGAAAAAGCTGGATGCTGGTATGACAGCTTTTATAATCCTGTTAAAAAGGAAGCTGAAACCAGAAATTGTTTGGGGCTCAGGGCCTGATCAGTGAGCACCAAACCAGTGATAAAGACTATGCCCTCCACATGCCCAGTTGTATGTACCTATGCACACACAAACATGTCCACACATAAGTATGGGTATGCCTAAACACACAAATATACAAAAAAGACCCCAGCAATTCTGGTGACTTTTATTTGTGTATGTTTGCTCATTTGTCTTTCAATTTTGTTGTTCTTCACATCAATATCCGGCCAGTTTATCAGCCTTATGAAGACAGCAAAGACAACTGTAAAGCTGACTGTTCGAACTGTGAATCCAGGTTGCCAAGCTGTTCCTTTAGCAGTTGCTGCAGCCAATGGAGAAAGGAAAGACAGCTCCCAGACTCCTGCAGTCCCAGCTCTGGACCTGGAACCCATCCCAAGTAAGGGCTGGCTGATGAGCGTCCTGCACACAGGACAACCCAAATAGAGGGTCTTCCTTCAGAGCAGGCCTGCACACACTGCTTCAACAGCATTAAGTCAAAGAGTATTTGCTTAAAGGGGGCATAACTGAGGAAAGTGTGATCCCTGGCAGTAGACCTGTGTGTATGGGTTACCCAACTGTGATACCTCAAGAAGCCACTGCAGATGCCTGCTTCTGCCTCTTCCTTTCCAAACCAAGGGAATGGCCTTTGCTCTCAAGTTCTTGTTAAAGGCACATGCAGCATCCAAGGAAGGAATCAGAGCTGCCATTTTGTAACTTCTGCTGGTGGAATAAGAAAGGAGCTGTTAACTTCAATTCTATGAAGTGAACACGCAATGATATTGTTTCACCATTAGGATGCTATTACCCTTAAAGCTCTTACTATTACAGCATGCGTGCTAGATCAGTGTTGGTAGCTCATGTGGTATGGGAAGCTCACCTCAGATGAGATAGTGAGGGACAAGGCTTTCTTGTATTACTCAACCAACAATTTAATATATGGAGAAAAATATTACTTGACTTGCTTTTTAGAAAAGGAATACTTGGGGATAATAAAATAATAAATAACTCAGATTCTCTAAAGCATCACTTAGAAATAATTTAAACATTGCCTGTTCTGCAGAGGGTGAAAAAAGGAGGAGGCACTTTCTTTGCCTAAATACAAACTGAAATATTCCATTCATTTGATAGTTTGTTAAGGAAAAATGGGCTGAAAGCATTCATAATACACCTATTCAAAAAGTCTTAAAGTAAAATATCTCTGTTACCAGTAACCCTATTGAGAAGGGCTAAGGGAAATTCACTGAAGTGCCATTAATATTTTAATGAAGATTTTTCTCATTTAATGTTGAATCCTAAATAGCATTTTGTTTAAAATATGAAATTCTCAGTGACAACTTAGCATAAATGAAAAAAAAATCATACACCCACTTTTACCATTTCTGGAGTAAAAGCAAAGTCTGTTTCTGATTGCCGGAAAAGAGAACATCTTGTCTGCAACACACACTCAACAAGAGTAGCTTTCTGAAACCTGCTTTTTCCTCTGTCGTAACATGTGTGGTGTGCACGCTTAGGAAAAAAGCCATGGGATTGTTCTCTTTATTTTTCCATACTGTGCTCTTATCTCTGCAATTCAGAAAGGTATGTAGCAGGATTTGATGTCAAAAGTATATTAAAATTACCAAGTGAGACTCGAGAAGAAAGATCAGAAAAGAATAAAGTGAATGTTTTTTGCAAGAATTTATAGATGTGCAAGTATGCTCAGAATCAGTTACATGAGAAGAGATGCTTGAGGATACAAAGAAAAAGAAAATAAAAACTGTCAAACCGTGGCACAGCACCATGACCAGAATAATGATGAGCTTTGTTCCACTGAGTGTGCCTACGAGACTGTGCAGGCCAGCTGGTCTCTGAGTGTGATGAATGCTTCTTCCCTAAGAAGCATGCTTGGCTTTGGTGAAGTGTAGGCTACTGAATCAAAGCTACAGGCTCAACCCAGCTCTAGTGTGTTTTCCTCCCTTTATACCTCCAGCAACTTAAAAAAAATACAAAATAACATTGAAAACAAGAAAGAAATTGTACACCTTGCTCCAGTTTATTGATGAATTAGTTATACTATTTTTATACTTTAAATACAAAATAGCAAATACTCAAGACAGATTTGAAGTTGCCTTTTCCCTAATCTCCTTCTCCATCCTTAAAGGCAATTTGTGTGCTGAGTTTGACGTGTTCTTTCTAAACAGTTATTATTTGGGGCTCATTCATTCTAAACTCTTTTTTAGATACAAGCAGGTCATCGACACCAGCAGTTTTTGCTTCTGACCCTGCCACCTGCCCCATCATCCCTGGCTGTGAAACAACAATTGAGATTTCCAAAGGACAAACAGGACTGGGACTGAGTATTGTCGGGGGTTCAGACACATTGCTGGTAAGCACCTCACCCAGAGGCATCCCCCCACCGGAGCTGTCAGGTGGTCCATGACCACGAGGAAGAGAGTCCTACCACTTTTATTAAATGTGATGTAAAGGCTGAGAAAAATGTATCATCGGTATCAAAAACTGCGATTATGACTTTGACTAAGCCAAGACTGACTTAACAGACTCTGTTACACGTAAGATTTCAGCATGCTTGGATCACTCCGCTGGTCCTTGGCATTGTTTAACTTTTTTTCACTTATGCCCAGGTTATCTCAGCCCCATATTGACAAGAGTATGAAATACATACACAAAATTTTACATTTAAAAGTCTATACATTTGTAGATAGGTATGTTGCTTTATCTCTCTTGTATTCATGGATGCTTTATAAATTTTATGAGTTTTATTTTCAGATTTCTCAATAATTAGAAAAAAGTATATGCTTCTTTGAGCCTTTTAACAAAAATCTTCTCAGTAGGTGTTTTTGTGACATTCTGTTGTGTGGCTCACATATGAACTTTTTTAGCTGTCTCTCAAAGTACAGTGTCTTTGGATTCCTTTCTTCTCAGCATTCCTAGGGAGAATGGTAACACATTGGTATGTTATGTTTGGGTCCTAGGGTGCTATTATTATCCATGAAGTTTATGAAGAGGGAGCAGCATGTAAAGATGGAAGACTGTGGGCTGGAGACCAGATTTTAGAGGTATAAATGCTTATTTAGATGACGGGTGATGAGCTTTTTCTTCCTTCATTCTTTTTCTTCCCCTTTCCTCCCTTCCTTCACTTACATCACCTAGCTCCTCACCGTTGGCATCTATTTCTTTGCAGGTGAATGGGATTGACCTGAGAAAGGCTACACATGATGAAGCAATCAATGTCCTGAGACAGACTCCACAAAGAGTACGGCTGACGCTGTACAGGGATGAGGCCCCATACAAAGAGGAGGATGTGTGTGATACTTTCACCATTGAGCTGCAGAAGAGGCCTGGCAAAGGCCTTGGGTTGAGTATTGTTGGCAAAAGGTGGGTTCAAGAGAGCAAACCTAGGGCCCCTTTGAAACCGATAATAGCCTGAATTGAGTGTATCAATAGTTTATGCTCTGTCATTGTAGACATTGTAAGTCAGGGTATTGGAGGGTTGTATAGTCTTCAGCAAAAGGCCATTTTGTATGGAGTATCTGCTGTATGCCAAGACATGCATTATATCTTGAGGATCAGTTAAGTAAGAAATAGTTCTTGACCTCAGAAAATTTATCCTAAAGGGCCGGAGAGATGGCGCAGTGGTATTCATTTTACACCACCCATACTAGGTGGCTTATAACTTTCTGTAACTAGAGCTCCAGGTCATGTACCCTCTTCTCATCAGAGGAGATACTCACATACAAGTGACACTAAAAATAATACAGATTTAAAATTTTAAATATTTTTAAAAATTAGTCTTCTGAAAGAGACTTAATTCTTGTAGCAAATGAATTTATTGAGAGCAACAGAGGCACATAGCTAGAGAAGAAAAGGGACAAACTGATTTACCTATTTAAGAAAGTGGACTGGTGAATGTTTTCAAGAAAACATGTGTCTAAGCTGAGGATTAAATTGATCAATGGTGATTGTTTTGTTAAAAGAGTTTGCTTTTAGTTTTGTGAAATAATAGGGATAAAATTAATGTTTAGTTATTTTGGATAAATCTATTGTGTGCAAAAGTTAGCTAAAAGGACCTAAAAGACCTCATAGTAATGGTGGTTAAGCTATAAGTAACAGAGTCTCAGTTTGCGGTACATAGCTATCCTTTATTTTCAATAATGTTAATGATGTTGATGAAAGCCTCAGCATGCTCAAATGACTACAAGACAGTGTCCGTAGAAAACATCTGTGTGGTGCAGAAAAAACATGCACTTCATACCCAACCACTTGACTCCAGGCTGCAGTTTTTACCATCTTCTAAGGGTGTAAATCATAAAATTAAGAATTGTGGTACTCAGTTATTCAGAGTCCATACCTGAAAAAGACTAGATATGCCTGTGAGAGATACTTTTAATCTATGAGATACTCTTTTAAGTTAAAAATCACAGTTATTTCTCATTTCTGGTAAAGCTGCCTCAGCATTACACAAAACTATAAAAACTCTAAAAAATGGACACTTAGAATAATCAGATTTTGATTACATAAGCATTCATTGCAGCTGAGAACCAGATTTAATGCTGAAATTCATTGTTCCTTGCAGAAATGACACTGGAGTATTTGTATCAGATATTGTCAAAGGAGGCATTGCTGATGCTGATGGGAGACTGATGCAGGGGGACCAGATTTTAATGGTGAATGGAGAAGATGTCCGCAATGCCACCCAGGAAGCCGTCGCTGCCCTCCTAAAGGTAGAGATCAAGTGACAAACCTAATTTTGAATAGTAATTGTATATGTTAGTTGTCATCTCAGATAAAAAGAAGTGTAATACTGTATTTCCAAACAGTAAATTTATAACTTTTATTATGTTTTTATATATTTGCTTAATAACTTTGTTGGAATTCTCACATGAATACTTAAATACATGAATAGTAACAAATCTTTAAAGTGAGTATTAAAAGAAGAATGCATATTCAGACCACAAAAGTCTCAGCATACATTCTTTTTTGTTTCTTTCTGGATTTATTCTTATAACTTGGTTTAAGTGAACTCTGTCATCTGAGGTGTTCGAAAGCCATCAGAGCCCCCACAGCATTTCAGGATGCCATAATGTCTGGCTTTTTCTTTTCAACCCTTTCCAGACCCTCTTTCTAGGCACAACACAATTGGTATTTAGTTTTGTGACCCACCCCCACCCCTAGAGGGAAAATTTCACTCTGCTTCACCCACAGGAGTATGTAGCCCACATCCCATCTGACTGAACACCGTTTCTCTACGTTAGAGTAAAACTGTTCTTGGGTGGGTCACCTTCAGCACTGAACAGGGCTCTGAACAGACTCACCCTTTGCACCAGCATTGGACTTACTGCGATGGTTATACCAGCTTCATTTACACTGTGTTTCAACCTCCCCAATGCTGTGACCCTTTAATACAGCTCCTCATGTTGGGTGACCCCCAACCATAAAATTGTTTTATTGCTACTTCATAATTTTAATTTTGCTGCTGTTATGCATTGCGTTATAAATATCTGATATGCAGGATATCTGACATTTGACTCCTGTAAAAGCGTCATTTGACCCCAAAGGGGTCATGACCCATGTGTTAACAAACACTGACTTAGAGCTTAGTGCCTCTTACACAGTGAAGTAGGTTTCCTCAAGAGAAAGCTCTTTGTGAAGAACCATTCTCGGTTGGAGGGTGGAGTCATCTCTGAAAATAAGCTGTGAACTACAGAATACTCACCAGAAAACAACCTGTGGGAAGTAGAGCTTCCCTGGTAGGAATGGCCCATCTTCTAGAGAAGATCGTATTATAAGTGAGTTACTGACTGCATCTTCTTTGCCTGATGTGTTTCTTTTACCGGAAGTTTAATTCAGCGTGAACTTGAAAACACTGTCATTGCTTATTTCTCACATCTTGGTTTGAGTGAACCTGAGTGTGTCTGCTCCCCAGCTGGTAGGGATGCTGGGCATTGCTGCTACTGGGTACCTCTCAATCTGGACTCCTAGAGGCCTTTTCTAGGTTGAAGCTCCACCTTAACCACTGTGCTTTGGATCACTATCATTAGTTATTAATGGAACACACATTAAATCTGTTATATATAAAAATCATCAAAACAAAGAGACCAGAATTGTTTCTTTTTGTAGAGGCAGATGTTTGGTGTTTGAGATAAGGTCTTACTATGTAGCCTAGACAATCCTAGAACTCACTATGTAGCCTAAGCCAGCCTGGAGCTATATTATAGAATTTTGTTTTAACGTTTCCATAAACCATCTCCCTCAGTGTTCCCTAGGCACGGTAACTCTGGAAGTTGGAAGAATCAAAGCTGGTCCGTTCCACTCAGAGCGGAGACCTTCTCAAAGCAGCCAGGTGTGTCCTGTGGAGTTCATGAAGCAAACCAGTCCAGGTGCAAAGGGGAGCTTAGAAATGTCCCCAGAGAGTCTGCCTGTGGTCTCAGACACCCGGTCCAGCCCTCAGTGTGGAACTGAGTAGAGCTTGACAGGGAAGAATAAGAGAAGCATGGCAGTGAGGGCCACTGGACACTGGGGGCTCTTGGCAATTCGGGGGGACTTTGTTTCTGGCATTCTTCTTCCACAGTCTCAAAACATAGCCTTCTAGTCAGGGTAGGCAAATCCAGTCAAGGTAACATACGTTTAACATACTGTCAAACAAACATCAGTCAGTATTCAACTGGAAAGTTCCAGGTAGGTGATTGCAAACCATCTCTGTATAGAAACATGATTTGATTCGTGGGCTAGGGAGATAGCGCATGCAGAGTTAGCTTGAGGGCTTAAGTTAAATCCCCAGAACCCACATTAGAAAGCCAGTGTTTTGATGCTTTCCATCCCATTTCGGGGTTGGTAAAGGCAGCATGGTGCCTACTGACCTGGTTGTTTATCCTATTGGCAAGCCCCATGTCCTAGTGAGAAGGCCTGGCTCAGTAAGTAAGGTGGATGCCTCCTGAGGAAGGTGCCTAAGGTAGGCCTGTGGCCTCCAGACTCCTGAATCCTTATACACTCATGTAGGGCCCCTCCCTACACATGTATACATGAAAATGCACACACACTTGTACAATAAATGCATGATTCTTAGAAAGCTTTTTTTCTCAGTATTATCTTCTGAAGACAGAATCTCAGTTTCATGAGTATTCATAAAGATCATTTACTAACATCCTTCATTAATGCCATTTTCTTCCAGCTCACTAGACAATGTAAAATAGTTTTAAGCTCTACCTTTGTGTAGTAGTTTAAATTCAAAGAGAATTAAGTCTTGAATAAGGTTTTATGGAAAACTACTAACATTTTACATAGGTTAAAATCAATTATCCTTTAATTTTTATATCATTATTTCTTTTTATTAATATTTTTATTTTAATTTTTATTAATTATAATTTATTCATTTTGTATCCCCCCGAAAACCCCACCTCCTCCCCTACCAATCCCAACCTCCCTCTCCCTTCTTCATCCCTCCCCCTTCTCCGCCCTTCCCTCTCCCCAAGTCCACTGATAGGGGAGGTCCTCCCCACCTTCCTTCTGATCCTAGTCGATCTGGTCTCATCAGGAGTAGCTGCATTGCATTGTCTTCCCCTGTGGCCTGGTAAGCCTGCTCCCCCCTCAGGGGGAGGTGATTAAAGAGCAGGCCAATCAGGTCATGTCAGAGACAGTCCCTGTTCCCATTACTATGGAACCCACTTGGACACTGAAGTGCCATGGGCTACATCTGTGCAGGGGTTCTAGGTTATCTCCATGCATGGTCCTTGGTTGGAGTATCAGTCTCAGAAAAGACCTCTGTGCCCATATTTTTTGGTTCTGTTGCTCTTCTTGTGGAGTTCCTGTCCTCTCCAGGTCTTACTTCTTTCATAAGATTCCCTGCACTCTGCCCAAAGGTTGGCCATAAGTCTCAGCATCTGCTTTGATATCCTGCAGAGTAGAGCTTTTCAGAGGCCCTCTGTGGCAGGCTCTTGTCCTGTTCTCTGTTTTCTTCTTCTTATAATGTCCATCCTGTTTGCCTTTCTGAATGGGGATTGAGCATTTTAGCCAGAGTCCTTCTTCTTGATTAGTTTCTTTAGGTGTATAGCTTTTAGTACGTTTATCCTATATTAAATGTCTAATATCCACTTATGAGTGAGTATATACTGTATGTGTCTTTCTGCTTCTGGGAGAGCTCACTCAGGATGATCTTTTCCAGATCCCACCATTTACCTGCAAACTTCAAGATTTCTTTGTTTTTTATTGCTGAGTAATATTCCATTGTGTAGATGTACCACAATTTCTGTTTCCATTCCTCAGTTGAGGGGCATCTGGGTTGTTTCCAGATTCTGGCTATTACAAATCAGGCTTTTACAAACATGGTTGAGCAAATGTCCTTATTGAGTACTTGAGCCTCTTTTGGATATATGCCTAGGAGTGGTATGGCTGGATCTTGAGGAAGCGCTAGTCCTAATTGTCTGAGAAACCACCAGATTGCTTTCCAGAGTGGTTGTACAAGTTTACATTCCCACCAGCAGTGGAGGAGGGTTCCCCTTTCTCCACAACCTCTCCAGCATGTGTTGTCACTTGAGCTTTTGATCTTAGCCATTCTGATGGGTGTAAGATGAAGTCTCAGGATCATTTTGATTTGAATTTCCCTGATGACTAAGGACACTGAGCATTTCTCTAAGTGTTTTTCAGCCATTCGATATTCCTCTACAGAGAGTTCTCTGTTTAGCTCTGTACCCCATTTTTTAATTGGATTACTTGATTTGTTGCTGTTTAACTTCTTGAGTTCTTTATATATACTGGATATCAGCCCTTTGTCAGATACAGGGTTGGTGAGGATCCTTTCCCAAACTGTAGGCAGTCATTTTGTTCTGACGACAGTGTCCTTTGCTTTACAGAAGCATTTCAGTTTCATAAGGTCCCATTTATTGATTGTTGATCTTAGAGCCTGTGCTGTTGGTGTTCTGTTCAGGAAGTTGTCTCCTGTTCTAATGAGTTCAAGGCTCTTCCCCACATTTTCCTCTAAGCGGTTTAGTGTGTCTGGTTTTATATTGAGGTCTTTGATCCACTTGGACTTTAGTTTTGTGTAGGGTGATAAGTATGGATCTATTTGCATTTTTCTTCATGTAGACATCCAGTTAGACAAGAACAATTTGTTGAAGATATTGTCTTTTTTCCATTGAATGGTTTTGAAATCTTTGTCAAAGATCAGGTGTCCATAAGTGTGTGGATTTATTTCACGGTCTTCGATTCCATTGATCCACCAGTCAATTTCTATGCCTGTACCATGCAGCATTGTTGCTCTATAGTACAGCTTGAAATCAGGGATGGAGATACCTCCAGAAGATCTTTTATTGTAGAGAATTGTTTTAGCAATTCTGGGTTTCTTGTTATTCCATATGAAGTTGAGAATTTTTCTTTCAATATCTGTAAAGAATTGTGTTGGTAATTTGATGGGAATTGCATTGAATCTGTAGATTTCTTTTGGTAAGATGGCCATTTTTACTATATTAATCCTGCCAAGCCATGAGCATGGGAGATCTTTCCATCTTCTGATATCTTCTTCTAATTCTTTCTTCAGAGACTTGAAATTTTTTTCATACAAGTCTTTGACTTGCTTGGTTAGGTTCACACCAAGGTACTTTATGTCTTTTGTGGCTGTTATGAAGGGTGTTGTTTCCCTAATTTCTTTCTCAGCCCTTTTGTCTTTTGTATACAGGAGGGCTACTAGTTTTTTTTTTTTTTTTTTTTAGTTAATTTTGTATCCAACCACTTTGCTGAAGGTGTATTATTTCTTATAACAGAAAAAAAGAAAAAAGAAAAAGAAAAAACAACTAATAACCGTGCTTAAGAGGTCTTTAAAATTACCAGATGCCAACACTGTACTTGCTGGCATAGTTTCTCCACCAGGCTTTCTTCCTCATTCTTTTGGTGCGCCTCTGGGCTTGCTTGCCTCAGTGCCGGCTGCTTCCCTATGTTGGATCCCAGAGGATGGGGCTCCCTCACAGCCCACCTAGCCCACCTAGGCTTTGAAAACTCAGTCTCCTTTCCTGGCTGAGGGCAGGATGAAATTTAAGATTAGAAGAACGAAAGCCCTCAATACACTGAGGCAGGAGAAAAAAAAATTACCAGATACCAGGGCTATTTAACAGTGTTTTTCTTTAGATGAGATAAACAAATGGAATTGTGGAATATTTTGTACTTCGGGTAATTATAATTTTTTAAACTGTGTAATAATTATTTTAGGTGAGTGACAGTAGCCTGTCATCCTTCACTCTCCCACTTTCTGGAATAAATCCATCAGAATCATTGGGAAGTAATGCAAAGAAGAACGCATGTAAGACTGGCTTAACTTTTACCTGCTTTGGATATTGACACTGATTTTTATTCTTTTGGCTTGTTCACCACTGAGCACATTTCCTCCCCCAAACCATCCCATATCCTAATGCAGATATAAAACATGCCCTGGCCGAAATCCTGAGCAAATGAAGCATGCCCCGTGACAGTTTTTCCCACTTGTGTTTGCCTTACAAGCTATAGGTGCATCTGTAATTTTATCTTACAAGGAGATTTCTGTATTTGATTTTGTTCCTTATCTCTGTTCCATGTAACTCCAGTGAATCAGAAAATACCACTAAGCAAAGACTTCTTTTTTTCATGAAGATTACAAAAAAATTTTTTTTGAGAAAATTGACACAATCCTCCCGCGTTTTAATTACATGAAATCATGGCACAGAGGATTTTTGGCTTGGTGCATTGTTTGAAAGTTTTTCAAACTGAAGAAAATTGCCATATGGCAGTCACCATTTGCAATGTGGTGACTAATATTCTAGATTTTTTAAATCATCCATAACTATTCCTCTCTGCTGTGTGAGCAACTCTATCCAGCGCATAGTCTGTTCTTAATTCAGTCAGGGTGGACTGTGCAGTTATTTAATCAGAGCTGACGCAGGAGGGAAGAACGGGACGCATGCATGCTTTTCCACTTGGGGAACTGGAGTCCTCCGTGTGCTGGCTTTAATCATGTGCACTGCTGATTACCAAGTGTACCCTTTCGCAGTGCCACTCAGCTCCATGGATTGGCTAAAACGGTAGTAAGCATAAACATGTCTTAACAACTGAATTTTTATCTACTTTTGCCTTTACAGTAGCATCTGAAATTCAGGGACTAAGAACCGTCGAAATAAAAAAGGTAATTTGCTGTCTTGTACATTGCTTTTTGTTTGTATTTTCCTGCTGAACATTTTATAGTGCCCATCTGAAAAATATATATGTACATTGTAAGCAGTGCAAATAATGCAATTCCATCATTGACAGATTTCTTAAACATAATGAAAAATCCTTAATTATATTTTTTATACTGTCAAAATGGTATCATTCTGCCCCAACACAGAATATTTCTCTGCTTCATACTTCTTGTGTTGATGAATGAGCATTTCTTTAGGACACATGGCCTGATAGGCATGTGCAGGAGAGGACATGGCTGAGACCTACTATACAGTCTCCCTAACAGTGGATGTCATCACTGGTTTATGCTTCATGTCCATTGCAGACCCATGAGACCCAGAGCTGTGCTGGGGCTGTGCATGTGCTCCAGGCCTTGCACTAGAAAGTGTAAGGTCCTGAGTGTGAACAAGGGCCTACTGGTTTTATACACTGTGGTCTTCTCACCTCCTGAGTTTGCCTGCCTTTTGTCCATCTCAACAGGATTTACTATGTGTCGACTGCCTTAATTCTCAAACAGATGTTTATTTCCCTAAACCGCATGTATCAAATGAAGTGTTTTCCATCCTCATACCTAGGAGGTCCTAACTGTTGACAGAATATTGTGTGTCAAAGAACAACCAAAAGGTCCATTTCAAATACTACTTTGACCAAGATATGTCTGTTCCATGACAGGGGCCTGCTGACTCACTGGGAATCAGCATTGCTGGAGGAGTGGGCAGCCCACTTGGTGATGTTCCTATATTTATTGCAATGATGCACCCAAACGGTGTTGCAGCTCAAACACAGAAACTCAGAGTAAGTTTTCCTGCTCACCAGGGTGGGTCTAGGTAATCTAGAAGGTGTTTCCACCTCCCAGTCCAGACACCAATGGCCAGGGTGGGTTTTAATATGCCTTTAAATACAGCTATGGCTGGGCTTACTTTGAGTAAAGATAAAGAATAACAAAAGGGAACATGATCTTTGTCAGATGCAGGATTGTAAGGAAATTACAACTTTGGAAAACGTTAAAAAGAAAACAGAGTGTGTTCAGAGCACAAGTATAGAGGGGAAACTTCCTTCACGTGTTTTACCCGCTTAGATGCTGACTTGATCATACCAAATTGGAAAACTTTGCTTATTTTATTATAGATGTTACTGACACGTTTAATGCAAATATGATTTCAAATACTGTAAAACATGTACATTTGCTTCAAGGCTAAGGGATCACCTCAATGTCCAGCACTGTGCTGGAACCCCGCTGAGAGCCCGGCACCCTGTAGGCGGCAGCTTTGTCTCTGAAGGAAAATCTCTTAAGCCCAAGCTGCAAACAAGGTCTCCAGAAGAACCATACCTTAGTTAAATAACCTCAGGTTTGGGAATGATTCCGCACTTCCACATCTATGATGGACACTGAGAAACTGGTTATTCCCTAGTGCCATAGGGTCAGTTAACTTCCTACATGACAGCAGGGAACACTTTAAACTAGGGAGTAGGACTCTCCTGCAACTGCTCAGCTCTGCTCTGTGAAAGAGCCAAGTAAGCATGTTGTCTTCCAACCACATTTGATTAACCAAAGTGGGCACTGTGCCAACTTGGCTCTGTTGCCCTTATTTTGCCAACCTCTTACTTATGGCCTCATCTAACATGGTGATAGTGTCCAGAGATAATCTGGCTTCCAAATGACACTGGTACTTTATAGTTTTAATAAGTAATCTCTTACCCAGGAGAAAAGTAGTCCAAGGAAGAGTGACTTTGTTCTCATTGCTCTCCCTTCCCCAGAACTTTCAAATCCCCTGTAATTTCAATCTGTAATTGCTTCTTAGACTTGAGCTAGTGGTTTCCATGGTTATATTTCAGTGGCTGGTGGCAACTTAGGTGTGGTGTAAGTGGTAGAGAAGAAAGACTGGTAGCCTGTCCATCTATCTGCATGGTGGCTGTTTGTCTTGCAGGTCGGAGATAGGATTGTCACCATTTGTGGTACATCCACTGAGGGGATGACTCATACACAAGCGGTTAACTTGATGAAAAATGCCTCTGGCTCCATTGAAATGCAGGTAAGGCTTTATCCCAAGCACTGTTCAGAACATAGGGACCCTGAGGACACAGGGGCCCTGGTGCTAAATAAAACAGTTCAATCTTCTGCTGCTGTTTTATTCAATATATCCCCAGAATGTCAGTGGTTAAATTGAGAGCTCCAAGAAAGCATTACGAAACATGTTCTGTAACATTTCGTCCTGGTGCCTTTATTATTCCACATTTTATATCTAAAGGGAAAACTACAGCACCTTAGCAGCCAACGATTTTTAGAATCTTGTGTGCCCTATGAGTATCATGTCTTCTAAACATCTTTGAAAAATAATTGCATGAGGTCATGATTTTAAAACATCAAAAATAATTGTAGAATTTAATTTGGGATATTTTTACTATCTAGACAGTTAAGAGGTGGCTGGGCATTGTGAAATTCCTTTCTTTTTAATAATATTTTTTTCTGTGACTAAGTAGGCAGTAAAACACTCATTTTAATCCAAGTTCGTTGTTTTTGGAGAAAAGTCCTTTGGGGTCTCTGGAGCTACATGAACATGTGTTTTTCTCTTTCCCTTTGTCCACACAGGTGGTTGCTGGAGGAGATGTGAGTGTGGTCACAGGGCATCAGCCAGAGCATGCCAGTCCTTGTCTTGCTTTTACTGGGCTGGCATCAAGCAGTATATTTCCGGATGATTTAGGGTAAGCAGTACATTATCGGTAGTATATCATTTGTTACTTTCAAACCAAATCGTCCGGACAGTTTTAGTTTCTGTCCTATCTTTCTGGCATTCTTACAGAGGTAAAATAATGGGAGAGGACATGCAAAGTAGAAAGCACAAATACTTTTAACTGTCAGCTAGTTAGAGATAAAAATATTAAGACAGTTGCCAGGTCAGAGATGGGAAGACTAACATTCAGCTGCCTATTCAGAGGTGAATAGATTATAGACAGCTACCTAATCAGAGGTGAGCAGCTAGACTATGAACAGCTGCCTGGCCGGGGGGGGGGGGCTAGATTATAGACAGCTGTTCACGCTACTGCACTTCCCGAGTTTCAGTTTTGAATTTTTTTGAGAGGAATATTGCTTTTGTTCATTGAACTTTGATTGAAAACATCGAATAGATTGGAAAACAACACTAAATGTAAAAGCTTTAGAAAAGAGGAAGAGTAAAAAGAGGTACATTTAAATTTTCAACTTACTTGATGCTACCCTGTCTTATTTACAATTGATTTTTCTGTCTGAAGTTGAGACTACCGTTTATGACCCTCCATTATGGTCTTCTGAACTTTCACCCTCTCCTCATAAAATGGAAAAAGAATGAGAATTTCTGTGGTATGAGAACATGCAATAAATAACATCTTCCTTATAACATACAGAAATACGCTGGCTGTAGTCAAGTAATGCATGAAGCACAGAGAGGCAACAGTGTCTGTGTGTGTGTGTGTGTGTGTGTGTGTGTGTGTGTGTAAAACCTCTTTTCTCCTTCCCTTTTCTGCAGACCTCCGCAGTGTAAGACCATCACACTAGACCGAGGACCAGATGGCTTAGGCTTCAGCATTGTTGGAGGCTATGGCAGCCCTCATGGAGACTTACCAATTTATGTTAAAACAGTGTTTGCAAAGGTAAGCTTGCAACTTTTAACCATCCTATTCCCTAATAAACATTAATTAATACTGGTCAGCAGCTGGCTTATTAGTTTATGGCCTGAGGTGATGCCAAATGGTTAATGGTGATATTTTCTTTCTAAATTCCCTGCAGAAACATGTCATTAAATATTTTTGAGGTTTAGATATGTTTAAAGAAAAATAGTTGAAATTGAAACTCTCAGCAATAATGAACATGAAATAATTAATGAGGCCTGTGCTTTTCATTTAAAAGCAAGTTATACATGATGATCTTTTGAAAATAATATATCTACTGTCAATGACTGGTGTGTTTTCATCTGTGTTCTTTTGTAATTGTAAAATCAAAAGTAGGTACAGAAAAATGCATAAAATGCATCCCAAATTATGATTATTGTGTTTATATGTTTGGTGTTTATAAGTTTAATTTCATTGAAAAGAAGAAAAGATGTTTTAAATTCGAGGAGTGGCGAGCAGACCTGCTATCTACAATAAAGCATCATTTGCAATCAAGGGATTCAATTACTTTTGAAAAGAAAACGCTGTATACAGTTGTAGAAATCTACCAAACTATCTTAAGAATGTATAGAATAAGAATAAAGAGACTGTAATTTTGATGAAATCATTAAAATAACGGAAATGCATATCATGTATAACTGTGTTGTTAAGACTTCTTTTTAAAGACTATAAAATCGAACAGTGTTTCCTCCAGAAGAAAACTAGGAATCTTGTATTTTACAGTCTAAAAGAGCAAAGTGAACGTCAGGCCTGTAAAGATTTCATTCGGGCTCTTTCAGTGCCATGGTCCTTTAATTTTATGGAAATTTCTATTATTTAGAAAAATACTACTATTTTCAACCAATTTAAAGTGCTGTTCTTATGGCAAACTAGCTTAATTTGTGATTTTTTAAGTTATTGGTATATCCAAAAATATAGACAGCATTTGCCAGTGAATAGAAGCTCCATGCAATCATTTTCCTCAGCGTAGGAACAATTTATTTAAGGCATGCTAGTTAGAACATATTTTAAGAATTTCATCATTATACGCTCCTCATTAACTTTTCCATATTTTTAATCTTATATTTAATTGCATAATTATCTTCTATGTGCATGCCTTTAGTTCTCTTTTAAATAGCTATGTCTGTGTTTAATCATAATTATTTAGGGCCTTTAGGAATAGGAAGAATCTCTTTACCCTTGCAGTAAGAACCAAGACAACTTGAACAGTCTTCTTTCCAAAGCTTAGAAAGAATTACACTTAGCAGTGTGTGTGTGTGTGTGTGTGTGTGTGTGTGTGTGTGTGTGTGTGTTGGGAGGAAGGTGCTTGTGCCTGGGGTGTGTGCTGGAGATGGAATTCAGAGCCTCGTGGATATTGGATAGACACTGCATGAGTGGCATCTCCCCAGCACAGGAATGATTTTTAAATCATCACTTTGCCTTACCCTGGTCAGCCTCCATGTGGGCTTTCTCTCTCTGCAAACCTGTGGATTCTGTAGTCTCATAGCATTGTTGATGAAGCTCCTTTTGTTCCTTCCTGGTCTTTTGTCTTTCCAGAGGCCCTCTTTACAGGCTAGAAAAGTCTAGTTTCTATGAAACCATTCCTGCTAGTCAGATGCCCAAATATTCTTTATTAATTTTAGTTGCCACCAACTGCTGTACTAAACAGCCAAAAAAACATCTAGCTACTCTGATGACTGCTAAATTCACTTCCAGATTGGAATCTCAGTGTTAAAACCATTTTGGAGAAAGGCGTCTTTTGTGTGTGTTCATCATGCCTAATGGTATGGGGCGCCGGGAGCAATGTGTGTGTACATGCAGAGCAATTTGCATTCTTGTTCAGCTCTTTCTCTTTGTGTGAGGCTGAATTCTTTCACAAATAAACAAGCCTACTTTATAATTGCAGGGAGCAGCCGCAGAAGACGGCCGTCTAAAAAGGGGCGATCAGATCATTGCTGTCAATGGGCAGACTCTAGAAGGGGTAACCCATGAAGAGGCAGTTGCCATCCTTAAGCGGACAAAAGGCACTGTCACCCTCATGGTTCTCTCTTGAACTGGCTGTCAGAACTGAACCAGCTCACCTCTTACTGTAACAGAGTGGAACTGCCATATGGACTTCCTATGCTGTGTTCATCGGGGGAAGAGGAACATTTAGTGACTTGTTACTGACAACCAAACATTTTTTCTTTCCCCTTGTATTTCATGGGTCCTAAACTCCGAGAAGGAATTTTTGTATAAGTCAACCTCAACTTATATTTTGAAGATATCTAACAATTTATTGTCACATGGACAAAATTTTCATATGCTCATCTTGTTAGTATGGAAACAAGATAATTCAAAACTAACCAAAAGAAATAGCTTCAGAAAATTAGGATTAAAAAGTGAAAATTTATGAAGAAGAAGAAGAGGAAGAAGAAGAGAAGGAGGAAATAGTAGTAGTCGTCTTGAGTTTTATAGAAGTGCTCCAATCCAGCAGTCCAAAAAAAAAAAAAAACTCACAATAATTTTTAATAGTCTAATGTTTTAAAATTGCGAACATTGCAGCATATTGGGTGTGCTTCCCTGTAATGTATATTTTTTTCTGCTAAAATTTTTAGCAGTCTTCTTAAGCTTTAAAAAGAAACTGCGTTTAATGCATATCTTGGTGTTCATTTTCAGGTTTTGACCTGCTATGTTTCATGTTGTTTCATGTTTCTTCATGTTTCATGAAGTAACATAATGATACTATGCTGTGTTGGCTGCAGTTATTTTAGAAAACAGCTATCTAACCATGGAAGACATAGGAGGAGCCCAGAACCTTCTAATGCTGATTTAACAGGCTGGTACAACATTGAAAATATGTTAGTGTACTGTGTATTGTTTTTCCATTAGTATTAATCTTAATGGCATAGAAAGACGCAATTGGTTAGTAATTGTTTGGGTTGTATGCCATTAATAAATTGACAGAAAAATTAAGGGGGTTAATGTAACTTCATTTCATTGCCTTATATTAACATCTCATAATATAATAGTTTAAGACTAAGGGAAACAGATGGAGCTGTTTACTGAGACAACTGGTGAGGAATCATCATGTGTTCAATTTCTTTTTAGAGCGTGAAACTCCTACATTAGAATATATAAAGTCACTTTAAATATTATCTATATTTGTACCAGAAGTAGTGTACATATCTTTTATTATAGCATTCTTGTGCAAATGCAGAACTAAAGTGAATAAATAAGTTTCTGTGGTGTACAACAAACAAGCAGATGTTTCTTTGTTCTTTTTATTGGGGAAAAGCTTTATTATTCAAGATTTACTGTTTTAAATTGTTGAGTCTCACCATATATGCAATTAGAAGAAATTTGGAAAACATACTTATGCAAACCTCATGTTTTCACCTGCACAGTGTTTTCTAGCACCAGAGATTACTAGGTTCCTTATGCGCTGAGAAAGATGGCATAGGAAGAGAAGTGTTCTGCTTCCACATTGGTTTTCAGGGATGCTACAGATGCAGTAAGCTTTGTGAAGAGCTAAAATGCATCAGATGGAAATTCTCTTACTGAACAAGGCGAGTCCGGATGGAGAACTGAGCAAGAAAGCTTTGTCTGCAGATTCTGTCTCAAATTAGCTAATGAGAATGTGCATTCTCTCTCACTATTTTTTCTATAAAATGATAACTTCATTTCACTGAAAAGCTTTGAGTTAATTTTTAAAATATAATATTTTCATATAACCATCCTATGAGTTTAGTTGTCCATGTAATACTCAAAAGGAATTAGCCAAAATGCAAATTGCAACAAATCTTTAGTCAGTCCTTGTCAGCTGAAGTAGTTGATTAACAAAATCAGTTTGCTGTTGGTTTTTGGAATCTTTAAATGACCCTCTCTCACGAAGATATGCCTGAATCCTTTCATGGGATACTGTGTATGCTGAACTTAGCTACTTCTGCAAATTAGAAGTTTAAAAGATTTTTATAGGGGAATATTAGTATCAGTACTGGGGAAAAAATCAAACAACCTAATTGATGTTTGAGACAATATGTCAGAGTAACAACCCCCAACACACATACACACACACACACACACACGCACGCATACACACACAAAAGAACAGGCATGTACGTGTCTTCACTTAAATAGTGTTATCCTAAGAATACATACCCACTTGAATTTCAGAATGTAATGCTTGGAAATAGAATCTTTGCCAGGGTGGTGAAAGCCTGGCTGGATTAGGATGGGTCCTGTCACAGGGGACAAAGGAGGAAAGATGGCCATATGAATATGGAGGCAAAGACATCAGCCAAGGAACCTATGGAGGCAAGGGTCCATTCCGATGAAGCACTTTATGGGGACTCCTTGATTTCAAGTTCCTGACTGAAAGAATTATGAGAAAATAAACTTTACACTGTCTTAAGCCATCGGTTGGCAGTACTCTATAAAGGAATCACTAGGTAAATAATGACGTTTTTTAATTTCATGTGCTGCTAAGATGCTATTAAGAATGAGGTGAGCTAGGTGCATTGGTGCATACCTGTAATTACAGTACTGAGGGAGGCAGAGGCAGGCAAATTTCTGTGAGTTCAAGGCCAGCCTGGTCTACAAAGCCAGTCCAGGACAGCCAAGGCTACACAGAGAAACCCTGTTTTGAAAAATTAAAAAAAAAAAGCAACAAGAAAAACAAACAAACAAGAAACACGAGGAAAAGGAATCAGAGTTAAAATCTGAAAATAAAAAGAATGTAGATTCTATAAAGAAGCAAAGACATGCTTCCTCTTATTATTTTCTACAAGTGATAGAAGAAGAAAATGCTTAGTTTAAAATTAATCTTACAGTATTAATGTTTTATATGATACAACACACACAATGGTTGCCTATAAATTCAGTGTTATTGTCAAGTTAAACTGGAAACCACCACAGATTTCTGGTGCTGTTCCTCATTACTGCCGAGGGATAATTATAGCAGTAATGATGTGTTAACTTCATTTGTAACATGCTAGTGAGGGGCATAATAAGTCTGTGGAATGCCTATATCAGAAGACTGAATCCTGAAGGAGAAGACAAAAAGAAGAGGTCTTTTTCTTCACCTTAAGAATCCTGAGAAAGCAGATGTTGACAGACATGAGGAAGGGAAGGGAGCTCTTGCCTTGTCTGAGGTAGATGGCACTAAGCCCGTTTAGATTTGCTCAGGTAGTTTGTTGTCTGAGTGCCAACCGCCGTCTTCAGATCTCAGAGTGAAGCTGGGAGTTGAAAGGTTGCCTGCAGAGAAACAGAAGGAATGGGCTTTGTGCTTTCAGTGTGGGAACATCAGAGCTCTCATCGCATGCTTTCCGCAGCCCTGCTGTGTTGTTTCCAGTTCATGACAGATCTGGAATGCATTTGATTTGCGCGAAGATGTCCCTGCACTTTGTCTACTAAGAATTAATGTTAAACTTTGCCCTTTGAAAGGGAGCTGTTTATAAGGCTGGATTGGCCTTCGTTATTTCAAGAGATAAAAAAGAAAGCTGTTGGTGCCAAGAAAATGTCTATATAAAAGAGAACGAAGCTCAGGGAAAATCACCATTCTTGAAGTGATTTCTGTGTGCTTTACATTGCAGCTTCTCTTGCCTCAAGATGTAAGGATTCCAAATTGTCCGCTTCATTGTAGACTGAAGACAAAATATTTGTGTAGTCACTTAACTGTAAGCCAAGTACTGAAACTTGACAGTAGGCCCTAAAAGAAATTCTATCAGAGAGGTGACTGTGTGGTTATAATCTCAGAATTGTCCCACTGAAAATATGTGTATTTTAAAGCATCGTAATTAGACAGCTTTAGGCAGTCTTTTTGGAGCAAGTTTCTCCTTGTTTTCATACTCACTATTATGTCTGAGGAGATAGTGTCTGTAATCCTGTTGGTCCATGCCATTGACTTTCCATACCTATAATTTTCTCTTTTCATGGTACCCTGAAGTTGCTTCATGCCCTGTCTCACACTCTCTCTCTCTCTCTTTCTCTATCTCCTTCTCCCTTCCTCCCCCGCTCCCCCATGTATGCGTATGTGTGTGCCTGTGTGTAAGTTTCCTGTGTTATTTGCTTGTGTGGCCCAATTCCTCTGCTTTATCAAGTTTCTTCCAATACTCTTAGCTTCTAGTAAGGCCTTCCACTGAGTTTCTAACTGGGTTACTAAGTTTTTCAATTTCATCTTCATTTCAGCTTCAGTATACTTCAGTATTTGGAATTCAGTTTTCCAAACCTGAATTGTCTTTGTCCCATTTTATTTCAGCTGTGTAATTTTGTGTCCTTGGATATCACTCAAGTGTCTTTAAGTTCATTCAACTGTTATGTCATTGGCAAATATTCTGTGATTCTGTGATCCTTTCTTTTCTTCTTCTTGCCATGTGTGTTCAGAAATATACCTATATACGGGAAATACAGCTATGGAGTATTTTTTATTTTTAGTGATTGGTGGGAGAGGGTCCAGCCCATGTGAGTGGTGCTATCGCTGGGTTAGTGGTCCTACTTCTGTAAGAAAGTTGGCTGATAAAGCCATGTGGGTAAGCAGCAGCCTGCATGGCCGCTGACTCAGCTCCTGCCTCCAGGTTCCTGCCTTGTCTGGATCCCTGTCCTGACTTCTTTGATGGTAACAGTGATGTGGAAGTGTAAACCAAGTAAACACTTTCTTCCTCAAGTTGCCTTGGTCATGGTTTTACCACAGTAGTAACCCTGACTGAGACAATCATTCAATTTAAATGTCTTGAGAGGAAGCTTATCTCACTACTTTGAGAAGTCAGCACGACTTAAAATAATACCAAATAATAGAGGCAAAAATACCTAGGAGTTACAGTCTTCAGTTGAGTCCTGATTTTCCTTAGTAAGGGAGTATTGTCATTGTTAGCATGACATCAGCAACTCAATGGAGACTTGCCCCAACTTAAGAAACTGCAAGTATTTTTTTTTCTTTCCATGATTCTGTATTTGCTAGCTCCTAAGCCACCTAAAGTGATGTGTTTCCGCCTTTGAAAAATTGTTTTAATGCAGGAATAGTGCTTCCTCAAGATCCAGCTATACAACTCTTAGGCATAGATCCAAAATATGCTCAAGTACACAAGGACATTTGTTCAACCATGTTTGTAGCAGCTTTATTCGTAATAGCCAGAACTTAGAAACAACACAGATGTCCCTCAATGGAGGAATGGATACAGAAACTGTGGTTCATTTACACAATGAAATACTACTCAGCAATTAAAAACAAGGAAATCATGAAATTTGCAGACAAATGGTGGAACCTCGAAAAGATCATCCTGAGTGAGGTATCCCAGAAGCAGAAAGACACATGGTACATACTCACTTTATAAGTGAATACTAGACCTATAAGATAGGATAAGCATACTAAAATCTGTACAAGCTAAACAAGGAGGACCTGGGGTAAGAAGATCAATCCTTACTTAGAAAGACAAATAGGATGGACATTGGAAGTAGGAAAAAATGAGAAGCAGGATACGAGCCTATCATAGAGGGACTCTGAAAGACTCTACCTAGCAGTATATCTAAGCAGATGCTGAGACTTATGGCCAAACTTTGGGCAGAGTGCAGGGAATCATATGAAAGAAGAGAGAGTAAGATCTGGAGAGGACAGGAGCTCCACAAGGACTAAATAATCTGGGCACAGGGGCTTATCTGAGACTGATTCTCCAACCAAGGACTATGAATGGATATAACCTAGAACCCTTGCTCGGATGTAGCCCATGGCAACTCAGTATCCAAGTGGCTACCCTAATAAGGGGAACAGGGAATGTCTCTGGCATGAACTCTGAAGCTAGCTGTGTGACCTCCCCAACCCCTGTGGGAGGAGCAGCCTAGCTAGGCCACAGAGGAGGATATTGCAGCCATTCCTGGTGAGACCTGATAATCTAGGGACAGATGGAAGAGGAGGAGCAGCTCCCCTATCAGTGGACTTAGAGAGGGACAGGGAGATGAGGAAGGGAGGGTGGGATTGGGAGGGATTGAGGAAGGAGGCTACAGCTGGGATACAAAGTAAATAAACTGTAACTAATACTAAAAAAAATAAAATTTTAATTAAAAAACTATTCTAATGCAAAGAAGACATGTTAATAGCACTTTAGTTTCCTTCAGGGTAAAAGCTAGCCAGTCATTTCCAAGCTTTAAAAGTTCCTTAATACTGTTGATGCTGTAAGATGTTCACTAAAGTGGATCAGGACATGATATCTATTGATGTACTTTTGGCAATCTGAATTTGAAATAAAGGACAAATGACATACATTAGTAA